ACAATATTGTAAACGTGCTAAAATAAATTTGTTATGTTCGTCTACTGACTATCGTATTACGCGAAATCAATAATCTTAAACAAGGACATGTTTGTAGCAATTTCATTATGCATTTTAGTGTTGCATAGATTATAGATTATCAAGCATATATTATAAATAACAAGCAGCCCCTTGGCATTAATCGATACTTCCGGCTTAATGCATCGTGGGTTGAAATTAAAAAAAAAAGTAGTCACACAGTGACCGCCGTCGCGTCGCGTTGACCCAGTCACATCTACTATGGCTAACTGATTTCAATATTTAGCATACATTTCTAGATATTATAATATATAGTGTGCAACAGATCGTGACCTGAATAAAGGTCAATTACCGACGTAACCTAATGCACCTATTGACAAGTTAATTAGGAACCTATGATGTTGTGCTGAGGTGTAAGATCGCACGTACGGTTGTCCGTGACCCGACGGTGCCTCGCATACTCGACGATCGCGCCCGAAGTTCAGTATTGCCTGATTCTATAACAACACGTAGGAACCGGCTAATAGTGAATGATGCGCCATCACCTCTGATCCGTATTATTCAATTGAACATGAACTAGAGTTATGGACAATAGCCACGGGGCAATTTGCATTCTCCGCGGTAAAATGTATTGTAGCAGTTTAGTCTATCACTTGATTACGTAATCGTGAATAGATTTCGTAATTCAATTTCCTTATGTACCATCAGCTAAATCGGCAGTCATTTTTGAATAATAATTTTGAATGTCGTCGATGTGCAAACAGGTTTACCGTCCAGCTGATGCTTAGTGTTTATCGAAGTCCGTAGTAAAAATTGATAAGAACTACACCAGGACCGAACCAAGTCATAATCGTATGATACATTTTATATCATGTGTCTTCGTATCAGGCCACGGACCATTCATATCCACGACGTAAATATATTTTTTAACGAAAGTAATCAAGTTAATCAAAAAACTGACGGCTTAACATAAATTTAATTCAATGATTTTATAACAAGTGTTTCGCGGTCACGCAATACTGAAAGTCAAAAATTCACGTCTAATAATGTCTGAAATACTATGATTATGTTTCGAAGAAATCCCAGATAAAACTGCAAAACAATAAATTGGTGTCTGTTTTCGATCATTCATATACCCGTATGTATATATGTATAATATATATGTTGTTATGATATGATTTGTATACGATACACGCATACTTGTGATGATATGATAAATGTCAAGATTTGTATAATGCAGCTTAGTTCTCAAAAACACCAGAATGTTGCGTTATCATGTTTTTATGTAAGATGACGAGATATAACGGCCGCGGTAAAACGCGGTAAGAGTGATCTGGTAACATTGAGGCAGCGAGAGGAAGTCAAGTGATTCCAAGAATACCTTTGGCATAAATAGAAACGTATGCAAGGTTATTGAATTTATAAAATTAAAATTGTATTGTAATGATATCAAAATTAACACTGCATACAATTAATTAATTAATTCGAGACCGCAATTCAAGGTCGATTCCTTTTAAAATTTAAATTTGGCGCTCTTCCAAATATTGAATTTTAATATTCATTCGAATTTAGTACATATTTACATCTAATATTGACTCGTATCAAACAATTTTCGGTTGTTGAATTTCTTAGAAGCGCTCTTGACATTTGACCACGTGTTGTTTTTATGACCAGGTCTTATCATTATATTAAACTAGCTTTTGCCCGTTACTTGGTCCGCGTGGAATAGTTACTTTGGCATAACGTTAAATTTTACCCACCACTTCATTTACGTAGAAAGTGAAAATTTTGTGAATAATATAATGTTAACGAGCTATATAAGGTACCAAAATCACGCTTTTTAACCGATTTCAAAGGAGAAAGAGAAGAGAAAAATATAGATGATTTGAAAATTTGTGAGGTCTTAAATTCTCCTCAATGTCAACTTTTAAACTAGTATTCTTCTTAAACAGTAATCGATTTTAGTATTTGCGCACACAATGCGCAAAATATATATTTGATGTCTTTTGGTTTATATAAATATAAAAAAAAAAAACGTATAACTAACTCGTATTTCGTAGATAAGAATGAAACTAACCAATAACGAAGGTCTTATTCTTTGAAAAATAAACCACTTTCCGGTTGATATTGCAATAACATTGTTATTTTATTCAAACGGGGAAACCCAAGATAATTTCAAGTGAATTTGTCAGCAAATAACATTTAATAGTGTACAGTGTACACAACGAAAAAAAAGTATCTATAAATAGCAATACGCGTTAATAACCACTATTTATTCACGAATATATTGTATATGTTTGTCTGGTTGCAATGACTCATGAGGACATACATACATTGTTCATTGATTGATGAATCAACCTTCGTTCATAGAACACTATTGTGACACTATCGTCTGACTTGCTACAAAAATATTACGAACAAAAAAATTTCTTTATAAGGTCAATTTGGTATTGGCCATATTGAGACGTAATATAATTAAAGGCTGTAAATTATATAAAACGAGGGTAGATCCAGTGTCAGTAATGACACATAATGCCCGTTTAAATCCTGTGGCGATGCTAAAATTCCATATAAATTACACCCAATATGTGGTCACGAAGACTACACGATAACATTGTATAATAAAAATAAAACTTGTAAACTTATGAATTTGCCTTTCTTGACCTTCTCATTTATTTATTTTTTGACCTTTTTTGGGCAGAGTATATCTGGGTTCTCTGTCCGATCCTTTGCTGAGTAAGCAAAGAGGTTTCTTCCTCCTCACAGTACCTACAGCTTAGATTAGTTGTGCGGCCTAGCTCGTGTATAGCCCCGATATTATAGCCAAAATTACAGTTCATTTTGTGCGAAAGAGCTTGTGTATTTTTAGTTAAAACTAAAGAATAATAAGCAGCTGTCGATGTGTCAAACACATCGAATGCATCTAGTACAATTGTTATAAAACACTTAATAGATTTTTAATATTCATTATTAGTTTGACCAAAGCTGAAAACGTTATCGAATATAATAAATAATATATACTAATAATAATACGGTTAAAGTGATTATTCACTCCGTATCTATAACATTGACTAATTGTTGCGGTTATTATAAATATGCGGTTATAATTGTTATTACTAGTGTAATTATGAATAACCGCATGCGACTTTAAAATTTAATTATATTAGGTATGACGAAGAGGCTGGCACAATCAGAGAGGTCCGCTTCGTTCGACTGCTCAAGTCGGAACGTGTTGTATTTTTTATTATGGATGAGGGATTACTGGGGGCCTGGAGGCCTTTCCAGTTTCACCAGGACAGTTGGGCGAGTAAAGGCTCAGACAGGAGGGATGGGATTTGCTAACAGCTGCCCGAGCGCCTCTAAGAGAAGCTTAATAACTCAAGAGCAGCTGCTTCGCGAATGATAATACTACCGGATCGGAATCGCGACCCGCTGAGAAGATCCAACGAGAAACTCAGCGGACTGATTCATGGGTTAAGTTTAGGTTGCACGTCGAACTCTTTGCCGGGTTCGACGAGTGAGGTTACCGGGTCCCTTTTTTTATTTCCTACCTACTCTAGTAACCTCGAGGGGTTATTCTAGATTCGCCGAGCTTGTAGGTGAGTTCACGGGGCTCATACCTGACGATGTCGCTAACACGAATCCTAACAAGAGCCGTGCTTCGCAGAATCTACCACCGGATCGGAAACGCGACCCACTGAGAAGATCCGGCGAGAAACTCAGTGGGCTGTGTCTGTGGGTTAATTTACTTGTCGAGCCCTTCGAACAACGATCAGAACGACGACCGGTGCTTGAGGTTCCTAAAAGCACCGTTAGTGGATCGGGAGGATCCGAAATGACGTGTTTTGGGCGACGTCGACTGCTTGCGTTAGAGCTGAAGGCGTCTAGTGCGAGAATTGGAATGTGTTGTAGACAATAGCAACTAGTTTATAGTTTCTACTGTTCTCAACGGGGGGTAGTTTGTTAAAAAAATTATCTGAATACCGTCTTAAACAATTGCTTACAAGCGTGGATTTATAACATTAACCTTTAACTAATCTTACTTAAGTAAATACAAGTGCTGCGCCGACAGGTATGATGTCTTTGAGTAAGAGTAAAGGTAACTTTGTCAAGAAAAATTCAGCGGACGATAATAATTTTAGATGAATCGTATAGACTTAGACCAACGCAGAACTTCGGATTGCATCATTCTTTGCAGACCGTATTGTCTAACCTTGTTCTAAAGTATCGTTTATCCGCGGCTTTTAATATTGCATAAAAATAAGCACGTAGATGCTTTCGCAATTTAAACCCGAACCGTCGATACAGACTCTCAAGGAATTCCACTCCGGTGTGAGTAACAATCACTGACATAGATTGCGGGCTCATCCACGCAGAACTCGTGAGGCGCCGTGACAGCACCCCATTTAAAAAGCAAATACGGTCACGAAGCATTCACGCTGATATACCGTATCGTTTTCAGAAAATCACAAACAGCTAACGTTTCATTCATGTTGCATCCGTTAAATTTACCTCAAATACCTAAAATAAATTGAGATTTGCTTCTCAATGTTGAACAAAAATGCTCTGTGACGATCTGTAATTAATTAAACCTTGATAGTTTATATTGCATTTTTTTTAATCGTAGCGGGCGATCGTTCGTCTTGTAACATTTATTTAATCTGTACTAATAAATGTGAAAGGTTGTATGCAGGTTTGGTTTGTTAATCGTTCACACAAAAAGTTGCTCGTGAAATCGCCATGAAATTTCCAAAAATCATAGTTCATAAACTGAATTAACACAAGTTTTCTAGACTTTTTAATGTCGTAATACGACTCGGGCAACGCTTAGTATCTACCATAATGAATAGTGACATAAGCAACTCTTTATACCAGGAAAAAAGCAACATTTTTCATTTTCTCCCAATTATATATACTCGTATGTATAGGCGGGTGCGTCTTATAAATTGGACACAATTTATAATGTTTTAACTTTGTTTCAGGCGAAGTCGTGCGTGGTGGGTGGGTTTGTTCGACGGGTGCGGCGCGGGCGCTTGCATACCATGTACTGTTAGACGCCAACATGGTTGGCGTGGGCGTCGCGGAGGCAGGGGGTGGGGGAGGCGGCGTCCCCGGCGATGGCTACTATGGGGAGTACTACCCTCCGGAGCAATACTACGTACCCCCGGACATGTGTCCTCATCCACAGCAACATCCGCAACATGCACACATGTGCACTGTGTTACCTGAATACGGTGAGTTCTTGCATATTTTTTTTCATAAATAATCATACATTATAATACTGGTGAGATGGCATATTTTGAGCCGCAATCGCCCTGTGCATTTCTGCAACGAAGCAGTTGCACTCCGATATGAAGGATAAAAAAGACACAATACAATATTATACAAAAACACCAGTCTCATTTATCAAGGTGTGATATTCACGTTGTGTCCCCATGGGTATACGATATCGCCTAACGCCAGATTGACTGAACCCGTCTACCGAAATCCAAGTTAAAATATCTAAATATGTGTCCTCGAAAGGACCGCTTCGACGAACTTCTACTATTTCAATTTCTGAAAAATTTATTAAATTCAAGTCCAAAATCGTAAGTATAAAATCGTAAGTAATAAATAAAAATCGTGTCATCAATAGTAATTTTAAAATTGAAGTTGCAACGAACTCGACTTGTTTAGAACCCTTTTACTCGGCGTTGAAACAAAGAACTTCAAGGCTCTCGTGGGATTCCTTGCACGACATTGCTCAAGAGACTGCGGTTGCATGGCCCTCCGTTCGAACTATGCAGCACGTTTCCGCTGAGAGCGGATTGTTTGTGTATTACGTAAAGCCGAATGAATGTTGATCCCACAGAGTATGTTTATAGGAATACCTAAAACCAGTTCGAAACCGCAAAGTTATGGGTACGCAGAACGAACAGCATCCGCGACCAAAGAAAAAAAAAACAACAAAAAAACTAGTAGGCGATGAGTTTGGAGATTTGTTTTGATCGCGCACGCGATCAATGCGCTCTCATTGTGTCAACGCTTAAAGAAGAATTAAAACGAAAAATTAAATATAAATCACAAAAAATTACGAAGAAAAATAATATTTTTTAATAAAGTACGTATAAAATAATTCCAAAGTTTAATGACATCCATCAGAACATCGTGATGTAAGATAACGTGATTTATGATGCTTTCGTAATTTAGAGTTCCAGAGGGCCTTTTTTAATTCTGATAGTCATTAGTTATTTAACTAATATCATTATTTGATTTACTCAGTTATTAACAAATAAATGTGGTATTTTATAAGCAATGTTTGACGGTTACTGGAGTCGATAGATACCACAACGCACCTTCCAGTGTTCACTGTTGCATTGGAATAACAGGTATTCCGCTAGTTAAGCTCTTCTTCATGGCATAAATCGATAGAAATTTTAGAGGGGAGTTGAGGGAATTAGACAGAAAAAATATGCAGTAGCATACTTGGTAGAATTGAAACCTCTCGTCTTACGCAGATTAAATCCTGTAAGTGTTTATGATTTTCTCTTTTTCGTATAATTTTATTTCAAATTATAACGGTGATAAATAATTTATGGTCTTTTTTTAATTGCTACGATGGATGGACACGTTCACGACCCACCTGGTGTTAAGTGGTCGTCACCGGAACCCATAGACATAAACTACGTAAATGCCCCTAACTGCTTGAGACATGACTTCTTAGTCTCAGTTTTTATAGTACAACGGCTGCCGCCCCGCCTTTCAAACTGAAACGCATTAATTACTGCTTCACGACAGAAATAGGCAGGTTGGTTGTACCTAACCGTGTGGGCTCTCAAGACGCTCTACCAGTAACAGACTTCAATGACGACTACTACAAAACATAGGGACATATAGATGTTCTCTCTTGAGGTGTCCGAGATAGGATATTCATATCTTGAGACGATAATGAAACAGATCCGGCTCTTGTATATAGATATATTATTTAATTATTGTGGTCACTATTTGTTCTCAGAAAATACTTACCTTTGTATTAAAGAGTATGGAAATTAAATAAAAGTTTTATGCTATAGATGGGGAACCATTCGAATTACTTAAATTATAGTCTGGAATTCACGTAACGATCCTGTGATTTTCTTTACTGTTAACATAACCACGTTATCTTTGCGCGTGCCGGTTTGATGTAACTATAAAGGCGTTGTTATCGTCACTATTGATAACAATTAAAAACATGTCACTTTCTGAACATTCTTTGGTGGCAAATGACCTAAAAATGTTGACAACCTTTTACTATGTTATATACTATATCATAATGCTCAGAGATAACGCGCTACTTAAAATTACCAATTATATTAATTTTTAATGCAATATTATAAGCGACTGTTTCGAAATTAAAAACTCAATTCAATTAAGTCTAAGTGTTTCTAAATCTAAATTAATCTAATTTAAGATGTCACAAAGATAGTCAGTCACATGAGTTTAAAAAAATAAAAGAACTGTCTCGATTTGCATACATAATTAAAAACACTTTTATTAATAAGGACTTAATTAATACTCAGTTTTTTATAATCACAGATTTCGCCATGACTACGCTTTAGACAAAAATTAATAAAGACAAATTATATTTAATCTATTCTCAATTTAATGACCACAGTAACAAGAAAAGTTGCCAATAAACAAATAGTTATTGATGCGTGTGCGTAGTGTGTGAATTTTTTTTTAATTGATTTAAATTTTATTTATTTTTATTGCTTAGATGTGTGGACGAGCTTACAGCCCACCCTGTGTTAAGTGGTCACTGGAGCCCTTAGACATCTACAACGTTAATGCCGCCACTCACCTTGAGATATAAGTTCTAAAAGTCTCAATATAGTTACAACGGCTGCCCCAACCTTAAAACCGAATCGCATTACTGCTTTACGGCAGAAATAGATAGGGTAAATAGGTGGTACCTACCCGCGGGGACTCACAAGAGGTCCTGCCATCAGTAATTACGCAAATTAAAATTTTGCGGATTTGATTTTTATTATACGATGTTATTCCTTCACTGTGGAAGTCAGTCGTGAACAATTGTTAAGTACGTATTTCATTAGAAAAATATGTACCCGCCTGCGGGATTTGAACATCGGTGCATCTCTACATACGAATGCACCGGACGTCTTATCTTTTAGGCCACGACGACTTTTGAATGTATTTAAAATATGTTTAGCTCACCACCCCATCACTACTTTCTTAAGGGTTTTGTTTGAAAAATCCATAATGAAACCTATTATTAACTTAAATTAAACAAAATATAAAAGTACATGTGAACATTGCAGGCGGCCTACCAGTGGTTACGTCGGGCACCATGATGCCGCCTTTGATGCCACCAGTGCTCGACGAGAACATGCGCCAATATTTGATGCACCAGCACGCTCAACACCCGCATCACGCGCCGCATCATCAACCGCCGCACCACCAGCCCCCGCATCATCAGCCGCCTCCGCATCACCAACCTCCTCACCATTATGTAAGCTTATTTTAAATTCGTACATGGTTTCAAGGCCCGCTTATGTTCATCGGTTACGGGAAACGGTGCTTTCAATTTGATGTTAGACACTATGCGGAAGTCATCTTTCGTTTTTCCTCAATATATTCGCTACAATCGCGGAAGAAAAAATTATATTTTGTTTACCATCTTCAGACGTGGAATCCCCGAACTCTGCCTGAGTGATGGGAAAAAACAGTTGCTAGTGATGGACAATACTTCGATTAAATTTAAATTACCGTTCTTTAATAATAAATATTATTTTTTCGACAAAAAACGGTGGAAACTTATTTGTATAATATAGTTTCTCACATGACTTCATATATTTACGATCGATACTGATGTCTACCTGATAAGGCAAGGCTAATGACAGAAAAGTTTCGTATATTATGTTCTACGTATATAATAACGTATGTAGTATAAAACATTCTTGTTATTCGCCATTCGAAACAAACAAAGGTAAACTAAGATCTTGTTTTACAGAAAAAATGTACAATTATTTTTATTATTTTCTTGCACACAAAACATAAAAATTAAGCGAGCAATTTCAAATTCAACAAGATATTTTTTAATATAGCCCTAAATTGCAGTTGTTAACCGCAATAATAATTACGTTTTTAAAATGGCTAGATGTTCTATTTACAAGTGGCATTGGCATTAAAACAGCATTATTAGTTAGTCCTTGGCTTGTCGCAATGCATACCTTAGTTCACTGGCCTGTCAAGGTTATGCTAGGGTAAAAATATTTTTACATCCATTCATTATCTTCACATAATAATAAAAAGTGCAAACTGGCTCTATAAGCAGTAATAGGTGCATGTATTTTGCATTATCATTAAAACAAATATGTCAGCATTTTTAAATTGCGCAATGGTATTGATTTCAAAATAAGTAGCAACATTGGCTTTTGAATTTATTTGTTTAAGTTAGTTATTTATTTAAAAAATAGCACAGATGTTAGTCTCTAAAAAGACAAAATTTTACATTGAGGGGCTTAGCGTCTAGTTGGCATTTAGAAGTTATCTTGTCTTATAATTTTTGGGGCTGAGTAGATAAATTATCCGACACTTTAACTCTTAGAGTCTTGTGTCATTTCTCTGTTCTTCGTCAACTCCTTATAAACACCTCTCGTATGAATCCTACAAAAGCGTTAAGAGATAAGGCTACAGAGAACCTTGGTCCGGGTAATCATTGCATAAAACGTTAATTCTTCTCCCCACTTGGTCTCTTGATCCTTAAAATATCGTTTCCACCTTCTCCAATTAGAGATTCCAATTAGAAATCGGCTCGTTGCAAAGATAGCGAAATTCATCTAACGTAGGGTGCGTTTCAGTTCCGAAATTCCCCGTGAGGGTCCTAAATAAATAGACTGCTGACGTAAAGCCCACACTGACTTTGTCTGTATTAGTATCACCCGGAAATTTTTGGTATGTCTTAATACTACTACTACCAGGTATTGCTCAATTTCATGGTGCAGTTCAGTAGCACGGACCATGCTCATTGGAATTCCTAAAAAAAGTTCAGTCTCTGTCATTCTTTTTTCTTGGCAATTTTAGGTCAGATAGGACCAGCATATTCTCCGAAAATAACGTGTCGCAGTACTCAGAGTAGATTGGCACTGTTGAGTCAACTCGGTTTATTAAGCGACCATATGCACTCCAGCGTCATTGTGTCTGGATTTCCTGGACAGGATATTACGTCAACGCAATAGAATTATTGTATTGTCATCGGGTCGTGATACTTGTAAAAATTTTCAAGTTGATGGAACCTCTTCTAGCTAGCCAAACTTACATAAATAGCTGGATGGATATATCTATCTTGACCTCCAGGGCAAGATTATATAAGCTTGATAAGAAGAGATAAATTTATAATAGCAATATTTCCGCGAAGCAATGTTGCGTCGAAGTTTTAAGGGCGAGTTGACCTCATGACTCATGATCCCGGCTACATTCTCACGATTTAATGTTGATAAGCTCCAGTCCAGCAAACGCTTAACACAAGTTGCCACCATGCGACTATGATATGTATATATGTAATAATATAATTTTTTCATAAATATTTCGTTTTTTAAAAACAAAACAGGAATGGAAAAGGATACCCCTCTAGACCAGGTATCCGAAAATAGATTCTCAAGCGTTAAAAAAAAAGAATGGAAAAGGATTAAAAGGAATTATATCAATAATTAAATTCAGTGTATATGCGAGTTGAAACGTCGTGAATTTTTGTTATAGCCAGATTATAGCACGCCGCTCGATCGCACAGCGTTATCAGCAAACAGTTGGCGATACGTGGCGGTGACGTGTAAATGCTTATAAACGTGTATATTCGAATAGTGTCGTATTTCATAATTCGTTTGCCTCAGTTAAATTTATTATAGTTTACAAAAAATGAGCAGTTCTGATAAAGAAACTGATAGCTCTGTAAAAAAACAAAAGGTCAGTAGCTCGGTCATTTTTATCTTACGTTGTGAAAATAAAACTACTTGGTACAACATATGTACATACAGTGTTTTACAAACTTATATACTTATTTTAAAACTGATTAATGGTGTTGATAATAGTCGAACCTCGGTATTTGGTTTTAAATACTGGATTATTATGGTATTTTCCGATGTCATGTCTACCACATTAGTCTGCGGGCGATACAAATTAGGATTTTTATTAAGAAAATTTGGTATTTGTGTTGCGGACGTATTTATTCTTCTCGTATTTACGGCTTACAGGAGTAAACCTTAACATAGGAATTTATAAAAAAATAAAATTCTTTTCATGAAAACCTCTGAATGCTCATCCCTTTTAAAGTAAAACAATATTCTATTAACATAACGGCTATTCATGTCTGAATCTTCCAGGCGTGTTTAAGTTATGTTTAAGAATATAAACATTGCCCAGTACTTTATTCCACGTAGTGCAAAGTTTGAGCTTTATGGATTTAAAAATTCGACTTTTTTATTGCTTAGATGGGTAGACGAGCTCATGGCCCACCAGGTGTGAAGTGATTACCGGAACCCATAGACGTTTACAACGTAAATGCCGCGACACCCACCTCGAGACATGAGAACCTACCTGTGCGAACTTGCAAGACGTCCTGCCACCAGAATTTCGTAGAAAAAAGTAAATTTTAAAACTTAACAAAAAAAAAGATGTAAAAAATACGCTGCAGAACAATTACTTTAACGAAAAAATACTTTAAGCTTGTGTGTTTGAGTGAATATTTGAGTCACATAAATTACTTCTATAGTTAGTTTAGAATTCCTCTGCTCATCTACATGAGCATTAGCAAAGGAATCCAGAAGCCACGTGTCCGTGGTTACCGGAGTCCGTAAACACCATAATCGGAACGTTACGTTATAGGTACTGACTCGGAAGGTCGCAAAGTAAATTACATCATACTAGACGTGCCGCGGTATCATCAGCACGCATAATTTGTCAGGTTTGAACCCCGTGAACTCACCTACTTGATAGCTTACGCTGGCATAGCCTCTCAAGGCTACACCTTAGGTAGGAACAAAAAGAAAAACGTATAATTTCGAGATTTGTAAGGCTGGTTGATACATAAAATGACGAATCGACGAACACTAGTCTTGTTTATTATACGGTGTTAGATATAGTCGGGGCTACATGAGTAATGTCATTTACCTTGATAAAAAGTATTCAATGTGCTAATCTAGGTTATAAACTATCTTCGTGCCGTATTTTATTCAACTCTGTTTTGTCATTATTGCGTCATTGAGAACAAACATCCACATCAAATAATAACACGTACTAAATATATGTAAATAGATAATATAAACAGTATATAGATATTACCCTACGTGGTTTTTGTGATAGATTATAGGTTCTTAGCATTCAAAGACTAATATATTTTTTTGTTTTTTTTTAATTGTATAGATGGGTAGATGAGCTCACAACCCACCTGCTGTTAAGTGGTTACCAGAGCCCATAGACATGCCCATCTACAACGTAAATGCCGCCACCCGTCTTGAGATATGAGTTCTAAGGTCTCAGTTTAGTTACGACGGCTGCCCCACTCTTCAAACCGAAGCGCATTACTGCTTCACGGCAGAAATAGGCAGGGTGGTGGTACCTACCCGTGTGGACTCACCAGAGGTCCTACCACTAGTAATTACGCAAATTATAATTTGGCGGTTTTGATTTTTATAACACGATGCTATTCCTTCACCGTGGAAGTCAATCGTGAAAATTTATTAAGTGCGTATTTCATTACAAAAATTGGTAGCCGTCTGCGGGATTCAAACACCGTTGTATCGCTCGACACAAATGCACCGAACGCTTTATCCTTTAGGCCACGATGACTTAAACTATCTGAGCGTAATGTTTGGGAATATATTTTCAGGGTCCAACCAATGGTGCTGGTGGTCCACAGCATTTCTATGGTGCGGGGTACCCAGCCCATTTTCACCATGTTCCCCCACACCATATGCAGCATTCGCCGCCACCGCCTATATACCAGAAGGATGAGCGAACTCAGAGGCAGTACTCCAAGTTAAAACAGAAGTTAGAAAGAAAAAACAACAATAGAAATAATGGCGTGGGTAAGTATCTACAATGTTTTGTTAATGATCAGCACCTTGGGTTTTGTTTTTTAATTAATTGATTCAACTAAAATACCACACGGATCTTATTAAATATATATATGTACATAGTTTTTTTTTGGCAGGATTATATTTATGTGCTTACTTAAAAATGGCGTTCTAATGTGATGGGATACGACATTACCACCTTCAAATCCGCGATCACATACATTACAGATTCATGAAAGAATTAATACATATCCATAAAATAATGGTATTGCGTACCAAGCAATTTATGATTATTTTCTTTTACATTCAATAAAGTGTACGTAAATCATTATTCTATATTATTTAAATATGTAATTATTAACTGATTACAAAGTAACAACTAGTTCAGTGTTCACAATTAATTATTATATAAGTGGGGTTATCATGCTTATCGGAAATGTCACTTATGTTATAAACATTGTATCCAGTAACAGATGTCACGTCGGGCACGAGTACGCCGACGCTGTCCCCGCGCAAGGAGTTGAATGGCCGAGGGGGTACCACATCAGGGGCCTGGTCAGAGGGCGAGGGATCGTCCGCCGGTGCCTCGGTGCACAGCGACGAGGACGACACACAGGCTATATTGGAGTTAATGTCTACTGCTCGTAAACCACAGGTACTGTAACATTAATGTACAGTGCCATTATATAACTCATACCGATCATCGTTCTCGTCGAGCCCTTAGTCGCAAGCGAAGGGCTCGACGAGTAAATTAACCCACAGACACAGCCCACTGAGTTTCTCGCCGGATCTTCTCAGTGAGTCGCGTTTCCGACCCGGCGGTAGATTCTGCGAAGCACGGCTCTTGCTAGGGTTCTTGTTAGCAACGTCGCCAGAATTGAGCCCCGTGAGCTCACCTACTAGTTCGGTGAATCTAGAATAACTTCTCGAGTCTACTAGAAAAGGTAGAAAAAAAAATGGAACTCGTCTTATCAAAAGTAAAAAGTAAAGTGTATGGATCTTTCTACTGAATGAAAAAAAAATTCGGTTGATTTGTGACCGTTTTCTATTGTAAGAAAAATAAAGATGCCGCAAGAACGGTGCGTCGTGGTTTTGTTTTAACCTCTAAATATGTTCAAGAAGAAAACGATATTTACAGGTCAGCGACATGACACCTACCAGTGCCTTAGTGCAGTGGAACTCTCAACTTCCGGAAGGTGTCCCGCCGCCCAACCTTGAATTAACCTACGATCTAATACTCGGAGACCGTGGCCGGTACAAAGCCATCTACAGCGGCCCCTCTCTTTCTTGCAGGTTAGTGCTTAATAATATTGTAAGTATTAATATTCTATTAATACCATTCGAAAAAGTATGGAAACTGAAATTCAGTTACTAATAATAAAAAGCAAGTCTATTGCCACTGTTTTTTTAATCAAGTTAAAATTGCTAACTACACGAGTTCGATCTACATTTATTATTAGGATCTGTCATGTTGAAATTATAATCTATAAAATATCTTGCCCGCGAAAACTGGTAATTTATCTCCTAGGATTCTAGCTCCAATTCAAACGGAGTTGAATTAAATCAAAGATAGGGTGCTTTGGGTAATTATTATAACTCTCTGCAAAACTTTATGCATGATAAAATACATCTTTCTAGCACAATAACTAAAATGAATGCCGATTGGTACGTTAACAATGTTCTTGTAAACCATTATTAATTCGAAAAAAAACTTTTTCACAACCCATAATACTGAACACATAACAAATTACAATAACAATATCATATAACTATTCAAATAATTTACCAAATATAATCAATTTATTTAATAAAATTACCAAATAAATTTATATTCTTGTAAAATTTATAAATTTCTCAATAAATGAAGATTTTGATTATTACAATTTTTAAGTGGGGCATAACTTTGTAGGAAAAAAGAATCATGAATGGACAATTTGATCTCCGATTGAAATGACTCGAATGTTATGTTGCAGAGTTCGTGATCTGCGGCCGGGATGCGAGTACTCGGTGTACCTGCAGATCCGCCCCGGGGCCGTCACGGGCGCCACCACGGAGGCGGTGACGTTCCGCGCGCCCGCCGCCCCGCCCGACCGCGTGCCCGCCCCCAAGGTCACGCAGCGGTCGCGCAACTCGCTGCTGTTGCGCTGGCCCTCCGCCGCCGACAACGGAGCGCGTCTGCAGTACTACGTGCTCGAAATGGACGACGGCGACGGCTTCAAGGAGATATCGCGCCCGCGCACTCGCCAACACTCCGCTACCGGTCTGCGTCCCCAAACGCGATACATCTTCCGCATCGCCGCCGTTAACGAGTGTGGTCGAGGTGAATGGAGTGAAGAGGTAACCGTGTGGACTTACGGGTCGCCACCCCCCGCGCCCGCTCCGCCCGTGCTCGACTCTGCCGCCTCCGAATCTCTAGCTCTGTCTTGGGAACGCCGAGGTGAAGAAGAATTCACGCTCCAAATGGACGATATCGCCCGCGGGCACGGTTTCCTGCCCGTCTACAATGGTCCAGATCGAACGCACGTGTGTAAGGGTCTGCGTCGTGCATCCGACTACCGTTTTAGATTATGCTGCGAGACCACCGACGGACAAGGTCCTTATTCGACAGATGTGACGTACCGCACCCTACCCGAACGCCCTGGCGCACCAGGTCGACCCTCTGCCAAGGGCAAGATACATTCCCGAGCATTTCGCTTGCGGTGGGAGCCGCCTTCCGATGACGGAGGAGCCCCGGTAGAACAATACACTCTCGAACTCGATGCTGGCGATGGATTCCAGTCCGCGTACTCCGGTCCTGATAGAGAAGCGCATTGTGATCGACTTCAACCGGGTACTGACTACCGCGCACGAGTGCGGTGCTTGAATTCGGCCGGCGAGAGCGACTGGTCAAGTACCGAGACTGTCACCACGGATGCCACCATTCCTGCTGCTTGCGATGCGCCCGAGCCCACGAGTGAGCCGCGCGCTACTACCCTACCTTTACGTTGGAAACCTCCCAGCTGCACCGGCGGTACCCCTCTCACCGAGTATAGAGTTGAGGTGGCAAACGCGCAAGGAATCGCCCGCCTGGCTCACGCTGGCTTAGAAACGGAATGCATAGTACGAGAATTGTCTCCCGGTCGCCCGTACCGCGTGTGGGTAACCGCGTGCAATCGGGTCGGCTCCGGCCCGCCGTCCTCCGTCCTCGAATTCGAGACTGCGGCCGCCCCCCCGGATGCTCCCGACGCGCCTATCACGAACGTCCAAAGCCCCAACGCAGTCCAACTCGAGTGGACTGCGCCCCCCGATAACGGCGCTAATATTATAGATTATAGAGTGGAAATGAGCGCAGCCAATGTCGACGATGCCTACACAGAGATATATCGGGGGTCAGAAACGAACTGTTCCATCGATCGTTTGACACCATTCACGCCCTACTTTTTCCGAGTGTGCGCAACGAATGTCGCCGGCCGGGGAGCGTGGTCCGCGGTACGGGACGTGCTGACTCCCCGCGCACCTCCCGCAGCCCCCTCTGCTCTGCGGTATGAAGCTACTGCAGACTCACTGCGTTTGCAGTGGCGCGCGCCGGCCTGCCACGGAGCTGATATCTTACATTATCGTGTTGAGGTTGGCGACGCAGCATTCGACACTGAAGGACCCACACCCGAACGGCTCGTCGAGGGACTCGAACCAGACGTGTCGTACCGTGTTCGCGTCGCCGCCCTAAACGAACTCGGGCTCGGCGATTGGAGTGAAGAATCGCGAGCCCGCACCCGACCTCCACCACCTGTGCCACCGATACTCCGGTGCTCCCCACCCGCTCATAACCACCTCCGACTCGAGTGGGACGCAACCGGAACCGAAGGAGTACATTATTGCGTCGAGATGCGTTCCCCGGACGGTCGCGAATTTCGTCCCGTGTATCGGGGAAGTGCACGTTCCTGTAAAGTGAAAAAATTGCGAGAGTCCTGTGCCTATGCCTTCCGGATACGAGCGGCGGACGAGAGAGGCGGGCGCGGGCCGTGGTCGGAGCCGGTCACGTTCGAGACGGGCAGCGCCCCGCCCCCCGCGCCCCGCGCCCCCGTGCTGCAGCTCCTCGCGCCGCGCCTCGCCCTCGTACAGTGGGACGTCATCGACGACGCTGAATACGTCTTGCAGTCCGCCCGCGGCAAGGATGCACTCTTCAAACAGGTAATTCGTCTTTTATTAATGACGACGGGTACACGGTTTAATATGGTAACCGGCACGACTATTTTAATATACTATTTGGTCATGGAATCAATAGGCATTAGGCAGGTGGAAGTTTGAATTATATTGTGCAACAGCTACTCCAAAAGTTCAAATCGGAATGTATGGCTACTTTGCAACAGAAATAAATAGGATGATATCTACCCGTGTGGGCTTTCAACGCCTTCCTTACGTGAGTGACTTAATCGCTCTGCGATATAGTGCCAATTCGGTTGCATATCGAGTACTTTGGCAAAATAAATAGCTTATTCGGATGATGGCGGCATCCATAGAATCCCTCGAAGGTTCCAGACTTTTGACGGCATTTGTGTTACAGAACTAGAACTATTATTATTTTACTGCTGTACATTGATTGATCTGGTGTTGAGTGATTATTGCACTGTAACTCGATAATATGTATACCTATAATATATAACACGAATACCACCATCTACTTTGAGACATGAGGATGAAGTCTCCAGTATTCTAGGTTAAAAAGAATTAGTACCAGTCATTTGACACAAGTAGGTACGCCATACTGCGATCAGAGTTAGGTTTCGACTAATTAAATAAATAACACATAAGACGACAATAAACTCGTGCGAACTCTGTTGTCTGTGAGTGTTTTAATCAGCTGATATCATATTATTATTAACATTTTTGAGTTCAAAGAACTCGCTCCATTAACCCGGCATGGGTACTTCCGACTTACTATTTCTTTGACAATTTTTACTATTTTGTGCGTTGAATTTAATTTACGGCCATAAATCTTTGTGAGATTCAAGTTATCATCTCGTTATGACCTCGACCTACAAAATATAGATTGAGAGAGCCAAACAGAGCTTAAGAAAAGCGATATCGCAGGGATTATACTATGAAAAAAAAAAGTTTTTTTGTATATGAGGTCAGTCTTATTTGTTAATACGAATATTACGTCACTGTAATAATAATATCATGCATAAATTGCGTAAAACATAACTCAAAGGTTGGAAAAAGAATAGTTTGTTCGTAATGTGCAGGCATTATTTTATTCCGAAAATATTTACTGGGAAAATATTATTTTCGTCGAATCGACTATTCTAATATCAACAGTTTCCTGCTTGATGTATCCTCTGTGTCAACAACCTGTATGATATATATAATTTATAAAACTCTTTACATATAATGAGCTCGTCTGCGCGCATTTAGAATAGCCCCAAAAAGCATTAAATATATAACCAGGACCATTTGACTAGACGAAACTGGTGTGCGTTATCGAGCACTAGACAAGGATCTTTTAGTAATGTAGCTGTGTAAAACACAAATTGAAAGGAAACAATATTGAGGATAGCATTTCAGAGGGGACATGCTAAAGTGCGTATTGTATGGTGAATGATGTAGGTTTTTTTTGCCTACCTAAGCTGAGAGCCTTGAGAGGCTACATCAGCGTAGCCTTAACTAGTAGGTGAGCTCACGGGGCTCAAACCTGATGACGTTGCTAACACGAACCCTAACCGGATCGGAAACGTGACCCACTGAGAAGATCCGGCATGATGTAGGACATGTTGCAGGTGTACGCGGGTTGCGACACGCAGTTCCGGCTCGAGGAGCTGGAGGCGGGTGGCGAGTACGTGGTGCGCGTGTGTGCCGTGCGCGGCGGGCTGGCGGGCGCGTGGTCGGCGCCGGCGCGTCTACTCGTACCCGTGCCAGCAGCCGCGCCGCGCGTGCGCCGCCCCCGCCCCGCGCGACCCCTACCCGCCCGCCACGCCGCGCTCCTGATGGCGACGGGCTTCCTAGTACTGGCGGTGCTGGTGGCCGTCCTGTTGCAGCGACTAGTGGAGCCGCGCGCCTGACCGCGACCCGCGACCGACTAACGAACGAATGTGAATGAATATGTCCCAGTTTCACGTGTGAGATGATTCCGTGCCGTTGGAGTTGCCGTTTTTCTACGAAGTTCGAGCCGAGCGGGAGCCTTGCGTTCTGTCGTTTTCCGTGTGTTTCGCACATTTTTCGTATTCTAGTCTGTGTCTGTAACTTGTTATTTCGTTTATCGTGACGGCTTAACCTATGTATGTATCGTTTTATTTTAATATATTTTATTGTTGTGACGTCGAACTATAACTTCTCGCTTTTTTAAAAAACATAGACGCACGGCTTAACCGGTCTTCTGGAAGTTATTTTTCGACAATCATATATATCTGTTGCCCGATTCGAACTTTTTATTATGAATTAGAAGCTAGTAAACGAGGTGCTCTATTTTTAAAGTTTCGTTGAGAGGGTCTTGGCCCCTCGCTCTGCAACGAGTTTCCAGTGTGTGTGCTGTGATCACTTCCTTATGCGAATGAGACTGATTTTACAAGTAAATATGTTTTGTTGAATAGAAATGAATGAGGATGCTCACGGAATACATTTTGTATGATAAACTGCCGTATTTGCTGCTCACACTCGGCCAGCGCGCCGCTAGACCATCGCTAGACCGTCGCCAGACCGTCACCAGACCGTCACCAGACCGTCGCCAGACCGCGGTGGGAGCGGCAAATGACCCCGAGCTGAACGCGGGACGCAGTGACACAATCCGATTTTATATACTCCGAATGCTTTTTTTGATTATATCGATGTACCTAATATATTGAATCGTCGGTAATTATGTTGTTTTTATTCATAGAACATGACATTTTATTGATGACATTATAAATTAGTTTAATATGTTTATTGATTTAGAGATTATGATTTTATAGGGAATGTTACCACCCGGTAAAAGTGAAGTGGGGTTTAGGTGTTATGTTCCGACTATAGTAAAATATTAAGAAAAGAAAAAAATAAAAAAAATGTAACGTTCATATCGGTGTTTGTTACTTTATTAACGTTTATTAGTAAAATTGTTAACCGATTTATAATAATATTGTATTTCAATGAATTTCATAGTGTGTAGGCTAAAATGAATTTAAGTATCATTTATTCACACGATAGTATATTAACAATATGAGGTCTACGAAAAAAAAAAATCATTAATGTTTCTTAGTCTTTACGGTTCGGTGTTGTTGCGTGAAAGTATCGTAAATAATCAATGACTGTGAGTATTATGATTGTCGTTTAGGCCCTTTACGTATGAATACTTTTAACTTGTGTAAACCAAATGCACAGTAGGTAAAGTGTATACATACATATATTTATTATTTATTTCGAATGAGATTACAGCGAGGCCCGCGCATCGAGTGTCTCGTAAATATATAATATTTACCTGTCCTGTGATTAGCTTTTATTATACTTTCGTAAAATAAAAAAAAATAAAAAAGAGAAAAAGTTTATTGATGTTGCCCGAAACATTCCCATGGTGCGTGTTTCATTTCGTTATTGTTTAAATAAACTTTATGGCCACGTTAGAACAATGAAACCGGTGAACGATGTAATTGAACTCGGCCTGTATCCCCCCCCGGTGAGCGCAGCTTACTGTCCCCACAAAGAACGTATTTAATTTTCGAATATTATTATTTTTAAATAATCGACGATGTGCAATTATTAAATTTTATTTATTCTTTATCGCTTAATATAATAATAATAATAATATTTATTTTATAGAAATTATATAACGATATTTTAATGTCGTATAAAAAAAAATCATATATATAAAGGAATCGATGTTCCTAAATAAGTTTTTAAACGTGTACAATGTGTTTTTAACTGATCGCAGAGCTAAATTGTATAACTACAGTAAAGCATTCCAACTTTATTCCACTTGTAAATAGGCCTAATGGATTTCTTACTTGTTTTTTGTTTAATGTACATCTCGCTTTTTATAACGAATTGTAAATAAAACTGGATGTTCATCGCGATGAGCTTCGTGCAATTGATGCGTTTAAATAGGTGTTCAACTTGTATGCCAATTTAAATTCTGCGCTGAGACTAAACGGTTTTTCTTTTTAATTTTAATTAATGAAATCTAGTAATTAACGGGGATTACATCTCATATTGTATTTGTGTTTGATTAAGTAACGTATAACGAAATGTATATGTTTATAATAATATAATATTTGATGATGTTATGTATACAATTTATTAAACATGAATATATCAATAAAACTATATTTTGTGTACGTACAAATTTTTCATTTTCTTTTTCCAAAAAAAAAAAAAAATACACTTCGATTCGTTTATTATGAGACAATAATTTAAATAAGCGGTAATACAAAATTGTAAGATATAAAAAAAAAAAGATATAAAAAATGGCGAGCTTAACTCAACAATTGAGTTATCTACCACCTAACCGTTCTTAAAGAAGGAAAGCTTTACATGAGTGGGTAGATGAATACAATGTATAAGTGAGTATGTAACGTATAAGTAAGTAACGTATAAATAAAATTCTATAACAATAACGGAATGTTAAAACGAAACAAACAAAATGATCAGTAGGCTTAGTGCGAGTTTCAAAAATGGAATCGAATGACTCGCATCGAGCGTACGCTCTTCCCGGTGAAACGTGCGGAGCTCTGAGTGCGAGTTACTCGATTTGCAGGACGTTTATTCATCTTGAGAAGCGATATTTTTTTCTTTTATATTGGTAGCACGCAAGGTTTTTTTTAAGGCGTTTAATTGAAATGCCAAGCTTTCTAACGATATTTATAATTAGTCGGGTAATGGGTAATGTACCTGTGCTTAGTGCGAGTTTTTTNTCATTTTTCACCGTATAGAACGTAAACTCGATTTGATTTTGATTTATTTATTTACAATTGAACAACTAGGAAAAAAAGATGAAAAGACATTTTGGAGGGACCGCGAGGAACTAAATTGTGTGAATTGTTTTATTTTGTCTATTTAATGTTTCTTAGTTAATGCGTATTTAATATTTCTTCGTGTATAAGTGTAATTTTGAGATCGTCGTGGCCTAAAGGTTAAGGCGTCCGGTGTATTCGTATCTTGCGATGCACCGGTGTTCTAATCCCGCCGGCGGGTATCAATTTTTCTAATGAAATACGTACTTATCAAATGTTTACGATTGACTTTCACTGTAAAGGAATAGCATCATGTAATAAAAATCAAACCCGCAAAATTAATTTGCGTAATTACTGGTGGTAGGACGTCTTGTGAGTCCGCACGGGTAGGTATCACCACCCTGCCTATTTTTGCCGTGAAGCAGTAATGCGTTTCGGTTTGAAGGGTGGGACAACCGTTGTAACTATACTGAGACCTTAGAACTAATATCTCAAGGCGGGAGGCGGCATTTGCGTTGTAGATGTCTATGGGCTCCGGTAACCACTTAAGAATAGGTGGGCCGGGAGCTCGTCCACCCATCTATGCAATAACAAAATAAAGTTGGTTTATTAACTGTTTACTATCTATGAAAGTGCGAAAATGTAAAAAAAAATAACAAAACCGCTGGACGTAGCTTCCCGAAGTCTTCGAAAAACTCCACTGAAAAAAATCTCAGTAAATAATCAGCATTTTACTGATATTATTTATTTTATCCCATATTATCTGATCTCATTTAATTTCATTCCATGCCAATTGATTAATGTTTCAAATTAATCAAATCCATTTCACTCCATATTATAATTTTTCATAAAAAAAGATTAGGCATGCCTAAGGCATATGGCATGATACTTTTGCCTCTCTAGTTGGAAAAATAAAACTACTAAAGAAATACTCGATCGAAACGTTAAAATCCACTAATTTGTAACACGCACTCGCACAAATGTCATTCGTAGTACTCAATTCGGTAAAATTACTCGGTTACGAGATCACAACGTTAATATGAACTCGCACTCACAAAATAACACCGAGTACGTTTGCCGCTAGGGGCGCTGTTCCAATTGCATACAAATTTGAGCAAACTGGCTCGCTAGTGAGAACGTTACAAAACTCGCACTAAGCATACAGTTCGTATTTGAGTAAAACGCAGATAGAACTGGAGGTCGTTAGAGAATGATCTCGAAGTATCTAGTTATCGTTCTATCTAGTGATATGAGCGTACGTCATTACTACCTATGTAAGTGGTTGCTTATGGTCGCACGGTACTCAAACTGCGACAAGTCGTATGTTCTTGAAGTCGTATGATCAGAAAATAACAGTCACGTATCTCCGACGTGGCAGCCCTGCATGTGACGCAGCGCGGAAGCTCAGTCTCAACTCGTTGAAAACTGAGTAACACTGGCACTTGCTAGCTAATATCCCAGTGCGAACAAAATACGGAGCTTCTTAAGGTACCTACCCTCTCATATAATAATAGTTGACGTTTGACAAAAACTTGAAATTTCCGATTAACATTTGGATCATTAATCTACATAGTAATGACAATCGTTCGGTGTAAGATTTTCGATACACAATGTAATTAAAGATGGACTTAATCTTAACCTTAAAAAATTATAAACAAAATAAAAAGCAAAGACAAATATTTTCATCACAACGACAACTATATAGTTTCGAGGCAGAATGACAAATTGTCCTATTTTGTTGGTAATAAGTTTTTAACGCTCACCCCTAAATTAAATCATGATTACAACAATGAGAACCTAATTCTACTATTTTACGCAAAAATCCTTCCCATACATACGGATTCGTGAGTATTTTTTAATCTTTATCTTGTAGCTTTAAACAAATATTTAGGGAATTTAATTAAGTTTAATTAATTAAATTTAAATTCTTAAAAGTAATCCCATCTGTAATTTAATAAATACATCATTAAGAAATATAACTTGAAAAGCTAAAATTATCATCGATATAAACTTTAAGCTTGTAATATTAAGCCTATGGAGGGTAGAGGTAAGGAGAACCATCTGTGTGTAAAAAAGTGTTCGTTAAAATCTGCTAAATAAGGGTGGCGCTACAGTAGCAACCGGGTAAATTTAAAAAAAGGCGCTGATAGTTATTAGAATAAGATAGAGAAATAAAAAAAGACGAAAGAACTGTAAGCACCACAAAATCACAAAAAAGTATTTTATTTAAAGCTGATAAGAAAATGCAATCGATGTCTTTACGTTTTAACACAGCAATCATTTTAAGTTATATAGGTGAAATTACTTTGGACTACGTAAACATGTGAGGTCTTGTATATTACACTGTCACTAACTACTCTAGTCATTAAATATATTAAATTAACTAACTCAGCATACTTCAATCAGTTAACGACTGCTCAATTCATATCATACCCTGTGCCTATGCTAGCGCCATTCTGGAGGATTTTTGAGCTGTTATTTAGTGCTGAAAGTGGGACACTTTTTCAAGTTTCTCCCATATGAGACGGTTCTCCTTACCTCTACCCTCCATAATTAAGCCACAAACCGAGCTCCGCGCTCATTGGCTACTGTTCCCATAGACACAACAATTTAAGTATTGAAAAATGAGTTTTTAATTTCAATTATTTTAGTTTAACGGAATGCATGCCTGTTCCACTCAAGTATTACGTTCCAGTTCTGTCAGTTCTGCGCACTTTATAAGACTAGATTAATTTGTACTGTGAGTTATTCATTCCACATTCAAAAATACAATCGAAAAACTCACGCGTTCGCCTACAACAACAACAATTGACTAAATTGCACACACGATTATTTACTAAAAACATTATTATAAAATTACTTAAGTCGGAGGGAATAATTGGCAGGACTTGATATTTTTGCTGTAAACTTCGGTAAAGTTGTTGATATAACTGTTTTCTTTCGTTGATATGTTGTCTATGCAACCTTTTAAATTGTTCGGAAACATTTTTTTTGCCATAGGATTCTCTTCAGTAACGCCACCTGAAAAAAAAAACTTTGTTGCCAAGGTTTTTTTTTAAATAGCGTATAAGTATCGTAAAACTACTGATCCGCCCCGTATTCATACGCAGTAATCACATATGTATAATACTTTTCTAAACTTCTAATAGGAAACTTAAATAAATGGTTCTACCTTCAAAAGTAGCCCCGTATAATTTCAACACATAATTAATTGATCCTCTTAGGAGTGAAATATTCAAAAGCACCGATATGTGTACGTGCACATTTATTTCGAACCAGAATCCAATAGTCCTTCATAACTATCCTGATCAGAATCCAAAATTAGTCTTTCAAATTAAAGTTACTATCCTGTGTCATTTCTGTAGGTACTCCTGGCAATGTATAATATGCAAAATTTCATTGGACGCGTTGTCAATATGAGATAGCGTGACAAAGTCTTTCGCAGATGGTAATAGACTGGGTTTAAAATATATATTTTTTCATTTTACTCTTGTTGGTGAAATATATGATAAAAATCATATACTTAATACAAAAATGATAAACAAAGATATCTTACCAATAAACAATTCCGTATCTTTTTCATGGTTTAAAATCCCTGGCTCTACAAAATACGCTTGCGTTTCATCAACTGTAACAGTTATATTCTCTCTTCTCATTTTGAGGATTATTGTGTGCCATTCTCCGTCAGCGAGGAAGCCGACGTGCGGAATCGATTTTGAAAAAAATGTTGACGAATTTTGTACGATAGCCGAGTCACATGTCCCTAACTGGAGAGAATAGGTGAGCTTGAGGTAACCCTTTTCGAGTCCTAAACCGATATAGTCCGAATCCTGTAAAGGTAATGTTTGGAAACATATATTATTTCAAATTTTTTTGAATTTCAATACCACGATAATGGCTATTTCTGCCGCGTTCCTACAATGGGTTTGAAGAGTGATTCTGACAGACTTCGTGTTTTAAAATAGGAATTTGAACTCCTTTGCCTGTATACATTTAACCAAGTTTTTTTTTTTTTTCAAATATAAATCGAATCGTATATCTAATTGAAATGCCACGTAGAATATAAATATTAAATTTACCGTTACGGCCCAAAGCAGAAGTCCGTCGTATTCGGCCGTAGTGAAATTCAGTGAGACGTGGTCAGGTCTAGTGTAGCCAGAGAATAGTCTTTGTTCGTTGTCTCGCCGAGTCAGTTGTCGAGACAGGGATATCAGTGAGGTGCCATCGAACTGCGGTATGGATATGTTGATTTCTATATAAAAAAAGAAAGAAAAGAAAAACGCTCAACGACAAAACATACTAGGAATATTCAATTATTTAATAAATCTTTACTACGGCTTTCGCGAGTCGTAGATCTAATATAACTACTTATACGGTTCGATCTTGCGCCATTATATTAATGCCGATGCTTCATAAAGTAGTTTTAGTTTTAGGACCCTCAAGCACCGGTCACCGTCCTCGTCGATTTCGTCAATTACGACGAAGAGTTCGACGAGCGAACTAACCTATAGACATAGCCCATTGAGTTTCTCGCCGGATCTTCTCAGTGGGTCGCGATTCCGATCCTCTGGTAGATTCTGCGAAGCACTGTTCTTGCTATGGGTAGTGTTGGTAAATTCTCTCAGATTGAACGCGTGAGCTTACCTACCGGTCTACGCGTTGCTACAATATCCCCTATGTTTTCAGTGAATAGGTAGGGAAAAAAATGACGCGTGCTATGCGTCCCACGCTTTCGGACGATCAATAAGATTAATTTTTCTTTTTTAAATTAGTGACTATGTATTGAATCTTTTATCTTTTTAAATTGTAATTCTAATGCATCATAAACATCAACCTTTTTCCATTAAAAGATATAATTTATTCAGGTAATCTAACAAAAATTATAGTCTAGCCGTCGAAACTACATTAAAAAGTGCTACCTACACATTAATCCTTTTTTTTTTTAAGTAATGTAGGATTGGTAAGAATGGAACGTATGAAAAGAGTATGAAACAGAGCGGTAAGAAGTGAGTGGGAGAAAACGGAAAGAAAGGGAAAGGGAATACAGAGAATAGGAAGATGGCGAAAACGGTTAAAAAATGAGCAAAGCGTAATAAAAATGTTAATTAATTTTTGTTATTACTATAACAGAACATTTTGGAACAGTGGAAGTTTTATTTTACACGCTGCGATCTTTATTCTACAGTAATGACAACTTTTTGTTTCTAACGTCTAGATTTATGCTTAGTATGTGAAATGAACAAACCAAATTAATCTCTGTAAATGATAAACGATGATACAACAATGATGAATGATTATTTTTTAATAAAAACAGAAAATTAAGTAAACAGAAAGAAATAGGTAATATGAACAGACAACGTCAAAAAGTCAAGAATAAAAATAACTACATCAGCTATCAAAATAGCAAAGAGGTCCGCAACAGCATGTATTTTTCATGAATGTATTTTGATTTTATTTCCCTGAAGTCTTTGTTTCGTCAGTCTGGCTCTTAACGGTTACCTTAGAGCCGAAGGTTTGTTAAGGCGATGTGGGACTCACTGTGGTAGCAGGCGGCGTGCACGCAGTCGGAGCGCGGCGCCACGTGACGTCGGCAGCGCGCACCCCCGCGCTCCACCACGCACCCCCCCGGACATGCCTCGGCGCCGCACGCGGTGCCGTCGCAGTCCAACACGTTCTGAGCAGCTGTGTTGTGAGGGTAGTTCATAGACAATTTTGGATTTAAATACAAAAACGTATTCCCGTTTCCCTCAAACGTTAGGTAATGGATATTAGAGCCAATTAAATGGTAGGAACTTTTGAGTCTACACGGGTAGGTACCACCACCCCGCCTATTTCTGCCCTCAAGCAGTAATGCGTAAAAAAATTGGAGGATTGTAAGGATTGTCGAATTCTGACCATTTCCAAACAAATCTCACGAGTAAAACAATTTTTTATTTTGGCATTTTGGTGTGTGCAGTATTCCTGCCGAACTCTTTTCTACTTTCCATACAGATATTATACTAGAGAGAGCTACTTTTAAAATGTATTCTTCAAAATTTAGGGTTTTAGTCCTTAACCATTTCACAGAAAGCGTATGGGTTAGCATCACCTACACTCTAGCTCGATACGAAGCAATCGTTGTTAACAAAATTAAAATAGACTCACCTCTAATATTATGCTGTTCTAAGTGCAACAAAACGTTGTTGACGTGAAAATTTCTTATACAACCAGTAAACGCCTCGAGTGGACCGGACATGGCTTCGAATGGTAATGTAGACAGATCCCTAGCTCCTCCTGGAAATATTTAAACGGTATTTGTATGGGGCGTTCCATTCAAAAGTTTAGTTCTGACAGAAACGATCCTATCTCTAAACGACTGATGAAATTTTTGTATCAAACTTGACCTCTTTGATTCTTACTTCGAGTACAAGTGGTAGGACGTGAGACGAGTGTGGAGAGGTGATGCACATGATGTTTCTGCCGTGAAGCATTAATTAGCTCTAGTTTGAGGGGTGGGGTAGCCGTTGCACTGTCAAAATGAGTCTTAGAACTTATGTCTCAGGGAGGGTGGCGGCATTCACTTTGTTGATGTCTGTCTGGTAACCGCTATGTAAGCCGTGAGATCGTAGCTAACTGAGTTAACTACGTTTTAACATATTCTGTCTCTGACAAATTTTACAAGGAAAACATTCACGCTTTTTTTACTTAATCGTTTAACGAAAATACAAAAAACACGCATCTATCATCATCTAAACAAACTATTGTACAAATATAAAAAGAGTCTCGTAAGCAACAAAACGGGATTTCATTGTATCATAAGATACAAATATTGGCGCCCAACGTGGGGCACGAACTCACGAACCTGAGATTAAGAGTCTCATGGTCTACCGACGGACCGTCCCCCATCAAAGCAATAAACAAAATCTACATGTTTCAACATCAGTGTTTCCCAACCTTTTTTGTATCATGCCCCATTGTAATAAAAAAATGATTTGTTCACTTAAGAAACATAAATGATAGGTTTTAGGAAGAAATCACTATGAAATTTGAATATCAGAACACTGTAATAATAATTCAAAACAAATACAAAAAAACAGAAATTAAAATTAAAAATAAATTTTATTACAGATTTTCTATATTAATTAATTCAGTGCGATTGTCCCCCTTAATTATCAAGTTGCCGCTTGTGGGGCGTGGGCCCCACGTTGGGAAACACCCTCTACATTATTCTATGTCTTGAGATAAATGCCTATCGCGTTACAAAAAACCAACCTAATAATATGGTGGCGTTGGCCATAGTGTGCGGGTAGGCGTGAGCCAACATCGCCTCGGTACTGAGAGTTCCGTCCACCCACACGTACAGGCGGCTGCCGTATCGGCCGGCCTTCACGCTGTGCCACTGGGACATGGTCAAGACCGCGCCGCTACGGACCAGCGAGGTTAGGCCCGACACGCGATCTGATGGTGTAACTCATTGTTAGCCGACTCCGGATCAACAATACGCAGGTACATACATGGTCCTCACAAAAACGCAGATTATAGATATAGTAGTGTGTGTAATGTTTTTTTTTATTGACTTAATGTACATATTTTCTATGCATACGAGTAATTTAAAAAAAATATTAACATTCTGCACTCCTTCGCTACATTATCTATAAGTTTGGAAAATTTCATACTCCTTGCTCCGCGCGATTTTTGTAAAAAGGGGTACAAAGTGTTTGCTTCACGTATTAATATTATATAGATTAAACGCTAGCATTTTTATACATTTTTTAAATATTTTAGAAAATATTTTGTAATTAATAATTAAATAATGTATAATTTATTTTACTGTATATTAAGAATCATTGAAAGAAAGTGAGTTATTCAAAGACACGTAATCTCGGCCCACTCGAGCTGCTGCTACTGTTCCTAATCAATTATTAATAGTACCAAAGAAAAGAAAATTATTGATATCGTTGCTTTCGTAAAGGAATCATTAATGTCGAGTTTTTAAACTCATCTTTCAAACGTAGCGTACGTTGTAAAGTACAGTTGCCTGCAAAAGTGCATGGATAGTACAAACTACCTAGTCAGGTCATAAATTCTGTCACATGTTTAATGTAAAATAATTGAAACAAGTTTATTCATTATGTAACCATTCATATACCAAAATGAACTTAACAAAACAAAGATTCTTATGACACTAAAGTTTATTCAAACTGACCTCCGTGATTTTGAAAACAGGCCTTCAATCTGCGCGGCCAGTCGTCCATCGCAGCACGAACGAGGTCCATGTCAATATCGGCGGCTGCCTTAATCAAGGATGTCTTGAGTGACTCCAAATTGGGATGAGGCTTTGAGCACGCCTTTTCCTCCAAGTGTTGCCATATCTTGTAATCTAACGGATTCAAATCTGGACTGGAGGAGGGCCAGTCTTCGTGCCGGATGAAGTCGATTTCACGCGCCGCCAGCCAGTCTTGTGTGCTCTTCGCTCTATGAGCTGGCGCCGAATCTTGTTGGAATACCCAGTGCCTGTTATTGAACATGGTATGAGAAACAGGTTCCACAAGGTTCGTCAGGACTGTATTTTAATACACAACTGCATTCGTTTTTACACCTTTCTCACAAAAATGTAAGCCCCAGCTCTGTTAAGCCCCAATAAGAAACTCCCAACCATACCATGAGCGACGATGGAAAATGACCTCGTTGGACACGCGGAATACGGTTGCTCGCTTCTTCACTACTGTGTGTGTACACCTTATCATTTTGTTTATTGTAGCTCTCTTCTACGGTAAAAATTTTTCATCCGAAAAAAGAATTTCCCGATATTTTTTTCCCGCGTACCGCTTCAACAAAGCGCGGCATCTCTTCAGTCTCAGGTCCATTAGACGAGCATTCAAACGATGTCCTGTTTTTCTTCGATATGCCCGAAGCCCTAAGTCTTCATTTAACACCCTTTTCACCGTGGTTCTGCTTAACCCCATCTGAAGGGCCAACAGTTTCTGCTTACGTTTGGGATTTCTTTGAATTCGCGCCTTCACAGCTTTTATCACTGCTGGAGTCCTAACAGACCGAGGGCGACCACTTCTTGACCTGTCATCTACACTAGAGTCTTCATTGTATCGTTTGATGGTACGATAAACGAATCTTTTGGTTATATTCAAATTTTTCAGTATGTTAAAAATTTGAATTGGCGCGTAACCGCAACGATGCAACGCAATAACTGCAACACGGTCTTCTTTAAGCGTCCACTCCATATATTTAAAAATGAGTAAAATTCTAAAAGTATACATTTTATTTTCATGAATAATTCGAAATTCGAATTCAATAAACTTTTTTGTGGCCAGCATTCTAAAAGAAAAGTTTTTACTGTGTGACAATACTTATGACCTGACTAGTTATAATTAACGCCATCTGTTATTAATAGGCTAGTACTAAACAGTGGTACTATTACTGTATTGGAGACTAATGTAATATGGTATTGCTCACAAATGACATAACTGTCGACATGTCATGAATGCGATGTTTACTATTATTATTTGTGATATTTATTTTAGATATCATGTTTCCTGTTAGTAGGTGTAAATTTCTTAAAGATTACTGTTATTTTTATTAATCAATGCCATCTAGTTTTATTTTCAGTAACTTGGATTCAAGTGTTTGCTGAATTTTGGAACTTTAGGTTTCCATGCAATTCTTTTGCTAGTGAGACCTTGAGGCGACGGAAAGCGTCTCCCTAATTGAAAAAAAGAAAAAAAAACTCACCAGTCCAACGGTACTCCAGCAGTCCCCCTTGTAAAGACAAGGCCGTAAAGAAATGCGGTGTATTCGCAAATACTACCAAGCCTCGTTCTCGGTTCGGTTTGATTTCCACCTCCAGCGACACGCTGACACTCGTCAATGCACGAGGATACAGTTTGACATACGACCTCACACCCGTGAATAGGACGTCTGTCGGGTATAAATCTGTAATGAAGAAAATTGTTTGCACTAAGTAGGGAGTTCAAAACAGAACTGGGCGTAGTGATAAGAAAGAGATAGTGTGTGAGAGAGACAGTAAATGAAGTGAAACTTCTTTTTCGATGTGTAGTGTTGTGATTTTTTTCATTTTTCATCCTTCAGATTGCTCTTGTAATAGGGAATGCTATGTATAAGAGATGCGACATCTTCAACGCTTATATTATATATATTTTAAATTATAAATAGAAAAATAAAATTAAAGTATTATTTATTCACATTAAAATAAAGTTTAGCCCAGTAAAACTATAGCACAAACTGAGTTGCTCTATAAAGAGAAACAACATTTAAAGCTATTGCTTCACCAGTTTTATGTTTTTTATATTTCAATATTAAAAAGACCATTTATGTCAACTGCATAACATATTATAACCTCTTTTAAGATTTATGTCATAAATCATATAGAGGTTACATATCTAAATATGTTTTAAAATACTTCATTAAAATATTGGATGCTACTCGTTGCTGACGCTCGCGCTGGCCTGTACCTGTTTGTGGTGGATGTTTCAGTCATTGTTTTGATTATAATAAAACTATAATTGAATACTTAAATCACTCATTTTAATTTTCTTCAGCGTCCATCTTTTACGTTACATTTTCATCTGTGTTGCCAGTCCTATAAACATCCCCCCCTTTTAAAGTACAACTCCCCTTTATCTATTATGTAATACATTTAGCCAATATCAACAAAATCCTTAAATCTAGTGGGTTTCTTAACTACTCGTCCACTCCTTGTTATTTTATCATTACTACATTGTTCATTTAAGCCACCCCTGCTGGTCCTGCTGCTGGGAGTAGGTAGATTAGCATTATTTGTAGAACTATCCAAGGACCTACTTCTCTCCCGTGATCTTGCTGGACTCGCCTGGGTTGCCATGTTACTTCCACATACTATTTTTTCTAAGCTAGGCTCTTGTATAACATATTTAGCTGAAGGCTGACACATGCTATTATCTAATACAATATCAGGTATATCATCTACAGCAAAATTATGATTTTTTACTTTAGTTGTTCTACAATTGTTTTTTGTATCAGGTGAACTGTCTGGCACTCTTTCTAAAATATATTTTCTGTTTCTTCGGTATATTTTTCCTTCACTATCAGCTACTAAATAAGAACGGGGCTCAGTACAATTTTTTATAATTTTTCCTTTTTGCCAATTTGAATCTAATGTTTTCTTGAAATATACCTCTTGGTGAAGTTTTAATTGGTCTAATTCTTTTGCACATTTGTCATAATTCTTTTTTACAGAGTTTAAATGGTTATAATATTTACTGTCACAATAAAACAATTTAGGCTTAAGTGTGCTTCTAGGTACTGGTATGAGTGAATTTAAGTTTCTCGAGTACAATAATTGTGCAGGCGATGGCATATAAGGTTTAGGTGTATTTCTATAATTTAACAAACCAAGGTATGGATCTGAGCCATCCTCATTACATTTTCTTAGAATATTTTTAAATATTTTTACACCACTTTCACTTAACCCATTTGATTGAGAATGCTTTGGGCTTGATTTTATGTGCTCAAATTTATAATAAAAAGCAAATTCTTTAAATTTCTCTGACGTAAACTGTGTACCACAATCTGTAACTACAAATGATGGTATGCCATGCCTTCCAAAAATAGATTTGCAGTTCACTATTACACAATCACTTGTCAAATTATCTAGTTTACATACTTCAATGAATTTAGTATAATAATCCATGAANTAACGAGACACAAAACAAACGACTAACAAATATATGAAAATACAATAATGAGAGAAACGCGCGATCAGTACGAGGCTTTGTGGCGGACTGCCGGCGCAGGCGCATAACGCATTTCGTGTGACATGCTAGTACGATTTTGGTCCCCATAATTTTCATACCCCGGGCCTATATATGTAAATCGATTCTAAAGGAGTAAACTCCAAAAATTAAAGAGTTTCCGATTTTTATAAATATTTGCACTCTAGAGACGATGTTTAGAGCAACATCTTGTTTCGTAGAAGGTGACTTTAAATATTTAAAATTGAATTTAGGGCAACAAGTTAAATTACCTACAACGATACTTAAGTTTTTAAAGCTACGCATATCAGAATTATTAGGTGGTATTTGTATATTTCGGGAAATAAGTTCATTGTCGATAATCAATTTAAGGATGATATGAATGAATGTGAACACAGTGAGAGCCTCGCCGCCACCATCGCCTCACGCCACCAAAAAAGGTGGCGTGAGGCGATGGTTTGCTTAATAGATATAAAATAATTAATAATTGGGAATTTAATTGTTTTTATGATCGAACAATCACCAATAGTCGTCGAACAAACGATAATTGATCAAAATTGGTTAATCTGAGCGATAAAAATAAAGATATCTAGTAAAGGGGGCCAATTTAAGGGTGATCATTTGTTTAACTAATTATAAATAAATAAAAGACGAACAAACAACATTGACATTCGAACATTAACGAACAAATAATTTATAATAAAAAAATCCGAAAATCAAAAAAAGGTGATCAAATTCAGGGAGCCAATTTTCATCGCCAGCCCTCCCCCTGATCACGTAAAAATTTGCGACAGCCACAATTTTGCAGATGTTGTGGCGACGCACAGTGGGTCGATACTATGATTTTAGTGACTTAGGCACCAACTTTGTTTTTTTACATTTTTCTTTATGTAGATAGAGCTCGTTAATCTAAATAATAATTGTTTTAGGCAAAAATTACAAAAACTTTATAGTTTGGTCAGAAAAATGTGTTTTGTGATTTTTTTGTATGGAGCGGGTCACATTAAATTAAATTCCTGCTAAGTACCGCGAGGTCCCGCTTTGAAACTTTATTTTCCTTACACCTTGTCTAGTCTACTATCATTTGATGNTTGAAAGAATTGTAGATTTTGATTCCGTTTTCGCCAATAAAATTCAGCAGAATTGATATTTTTCTTTTGTCTTTGGCGTCATCAAGGCCATTAGCAGACAAATATATCTCCAACCTTTGACGATACATTTTGAAATTTTCGGCAAGGTTACCTTTGAAATCCATACTGGGTAAAAGTGGCAGGAACCCCACACCTGACACCATGTTTGTGGTGGATGTTTCAGTCATTGTTTTGATTATAATAAAACTATAATTGAATACTTAAATCACTCATTTTAATTTTCTTCAGCGTCCATCTTTTACGTTACATTTTCATCTAAAGACAAAAGAAAAATATCAATTCTGCTGAATTTTATTGGCGAAAACGGAATCAAAATCTACAATTCTTTCAACTTAAACGCATCTGAATCACATACTTTTGAACACGTGCTCAAAAAGTTTGAAGCGTACTTTGAACCAAAGAAAAGTCTAACTATAGCAAGGAACGAGTTTTTTACTGTTACACAAGATGAAGACAGGTTGGAGGATTACTTTCAAAGAGTAATAAATCTCGGTATTCAATGCGAACTTGGAGATCTCAGAGAAGGGTTGACAGTGGGAAAGATAATTTCAGGGTTAGACTCCAAATATAATAATCTCAAAACACGATTAATGTCGGAAGACGATAGTAAATTAACATTAGATTATGTTATGAAATACTTACTGAGTGCCGAAACCTCTAGAAAATATATAGAAGAAAAAACAAATTCAAAGGACAGCGATGAGTCCTCCATCCTATATGTTAATAAAAAATCAATAANAAATGGAACACCCTAAATGTAAAAAAGATTTGGAAAGATTTTTGGGAATGTGTAATTATTTATCTCGTTTCATTCCAAATTATTCTAAGTTAATAGAACCTTTGCGTATCCTAATGAAAAAAGATACTGTGTTTACTTGGGATAGCAATCAGGAACATGCAGTTGAGAGATTGAAAGAAGCTTTATGTAAAAGTCCATGCTTAGCTTTTTTTAATACCAATCAGGAAATAGTGTTGTCTGTGGATAGCTCATCAACTGCAATGGGGGCTGTAGTTCTTCAAAATGGTAAACCAATTGCATATGCATCCCGAGCACTTACATCCACAGAACAACGCTATTGCCAGTTAGAAAAGGAGATGCTGGCAATTTATTTTGGCTGCCATAAAATGCATCAATATACTTACGGCCGCAAAGTACATGTTGAAACAGATCATAGACCACTTGAGTCACTGTTTAAAAAACCTTTGTATAAAGTGCCAGCAAGACTACAGAGAATGATGTTAGCTGTACAGGGTTATAACTTGCATGTTAATTACAAACCGGGTAAATTATTATTTATTGCTGACACATTATCTCGTAGTTGCGCTGATACAGTTGAGCCAAAAATGAAACAACTGCACGACAATATAATCTGTCATGTTAAACTACAAAGAGATTGTCTACCTATATCTAATGTACAACTAAAAAGAATACAAATAGCTACTGCTTCTGATGAAATACTGAAAATGGTCATAACATATGTTAAACAAGGATGGCCAAAAAACATTAAAGACGTAAATAAAGATTTAAGAAATTATTGGACTTTTAGGGATGAGTTAGGTGTGCTAGATGGTATAGTATTGAAAAGTAATCTCATTATAATACCAGAATCCTTAAGAACTGAAATGATGCAAAATATTCACCAAGGTCATGCTGGGTTAAACACTTGTAAAATGAGAGCCCGATCATGTATTTTCTGGCCAGAACTAAACAGTACCAGGTATATACTACGCTCATTCGTTCGAGTGCCACGCATTCACTCTCGCTCTGTCTCTTTCTAGTATGGTAGCGTTAAACGTTTAACGCAACTTTGTACGAAGTTTTATAAGCATTAGAAGTGTCACTTCAAAAACTGGCACTAAGCAAATTGGTCGTTAAATACCTTGGTCGCAGTTAACTCCAGCTTTTCCGTAAGGGCAGTCGCAGTGAGCGCGGTCGTCAGCCGTCACGACACATCGCCCCCGACACTTGGTGACGAGACGGTCGCAAGGGTTGCGGGCACTCGAGCAAGTCGCGCCGTACGAGCCTTCGTTGCAGATACATCTGTTTCAATTAGGAAGATATTTGAAAAGGTCAATATTAAAACCGTTACAAACGTTTAATAATAAGTACGTGGTAAAGATAGGAAAATATCTAGATAAGATTTACAGATTGGCGAAGTTTTCCGTTAAACGAAGACATGGTTAAAATTATTTTGCCGGTGTTTTCTGGCCGTCATGAACATAGGCTATGACACTTCAATGTCTTGTGTGTATTACGTCTTTGTGGTTATAAACTGATATAAAGACTAAACTCCATTGTCCAAAATTGTCCATAACTTTACAACTTTAAATATCGAATGTGTTATTAAATCTTCTTCTAAACAACTTTTTTAAATTAATGAATAAAATCCTCCCTTATTACCCGTAGGTTGCAGGTGAATGTATGCAGACCCCCCTAGGAGAGTTACAGGACTTGGCAGTGCACTGTGCGACCCCACACTGTCCCACGCCGCGGCCCCCCGCCACCCCACCGCCCGCTGCCTGGCCCCCCACGTCCCAAATACAGCCCCGCCATCCGTTGTGCAACGGTAAGTCGTGCGGGAGATCTCTGAAGCCTTCAGACGGATGACCCCCTGAACGAAAAGCTAGTCATTTAGATACCCACATATAACTAGTGTTTATCATGGAATGTTTGAATTAATTAATATTTGTCGTGAATCTTCCACGACAAATACTAGTCACAGCTAAAGTTTTAGGAAACGATTTCAGTGAAAAAATATATATATATATTATAATCTTCATTTTAGTCAGTACTGTTCACGAGACTGTCTAAAGCTGATTGAGATATTTTTCCTAGTCGTGATATTACTCGTAATATCTTTGAGCACCTGATCGGTACAGTTATAGCGGTAGGCAGCGGCTTGGCTCTGCCCCTGGCATTGCTGAAGTCCATGGGCGACGGTAATCACTCACCATCAGGTGGGCCGTATGCTCGTCTGCCTAAAAAGGCAATAAAATAAAAATAAAAGTTGATTTGTGGGCGAGTTTTTTAACGTTTTCGATAGCGTAAAAGTTAACTCAAATTTTTATTTTTAAGTGTAAGTTTTTTTTTTGCATGTAATCTGTAGTAACGTACCGATATAAAGATATGGCAGCAGAGTCATCTTGTCGTGCGAGGCGGGCGCGTTCCCGGTGGCGTTGAGTCTGGCGTCCACGGAGAGTCCGGCGGCGCGGCCCCGGCGCCACGCCCGCACCGCGTGCCCGCCGCGACGGGGGGTCAGCGCGCGGGACGTGAACACGCGACGCGCACCTTTCACACAACACCCAACTCGTTTCAAAGAAAACTATAGCAAACGTTTGTCTATTCTAGTTCTCTTCGCCGACGACACGACTATCTACTAGTCGTGTACGTAGAAGTCATTAGTTAATCTATTGGCGACTCCAGACCGCAGCGACCACAATGAGACAGTGGTTCTGAAAGTTCTGAATATTGATATTATAGTAACTATATGGAAATTGTGTACTATTTGGTTTCCAAAATAAATAAATAAATAAATTAGGGCACGCTTAGTGTATTGATTGTCGCGATTACCAAATGTGAATAGTATCGAGGGGTGAAAGGTTATTTGGTTTTAGCGATCTTTTTGAAACTTTACTGGAGAGCCATTTAAAGTTGGAAATTTAGAAAAAATATTATTAAAAAAAATCTTCAGCCATTTCAGTGGCATAAATATAATTGATGTTCAATGAAAATCATCGAACTGTTGATGCTAATACCAAATAAAACCCAGCTTTAAATACAAAAACAAATTTCGCTTAAGGTAAATAGTCTTTCACTCCTCAGTATATTCTAATATTATATAATTTTGTCAACTGGGAATATTTGAGAAAGACTAATCTAAGTTAGAAGTCATTAATTTATACAAACTAAGACTTACCGTTTCCCATGTTCCAAGACAGCATAATATACCCTTTAACAAAAGTCAAGGCCAGATGTTGACTTTTCGAATCGTGCTTGCCGTTCTGCCCTACAAAAGCTAATAAAGCTATTTGGTCCATATCGGGCGTTTGAAAGCGTAGCCGAAGGTCGAATCGGTCTGAATTCATAGCGGCCGGAGACAATGGGTACACGAGGTACGAGGAGACGCCCGAACTGATCGGAGCTAGGGACGGCCGAGTTATTGCTACATCTGAAACGATTTTGTAACTTTTTTTTTTCTACCTAAAGTAGTGGCCTTGAGAGGCTATGTCAGCGTAACCGAACTAGTAGGTGAGCTCAGGGGCTCCAACCTGACTACTTTGCTAACACGAACCCTAGCAAGAGCCGTGCTCCGCAGAATCTACCACCGGATCAGAAACGCGACCTACTGAGAAGATCCGGCGAGAAACTCAGTGGACCGTGTCTGTGGGTTTTTGTACCGAAACTTACTTAGAATTTCCGAACGACTTCTACGATGAAGGAATTATAATTGTGCAATTAAATAAAAAAATGTCTAATTATGATTAGTCTTAATTAAATAAATAATAATAAACTTCCATAATGACCCTACTTGATATCAATTAGCTATGATGGAATAGTAGAATACAACAAAAACTTTAACTGTCATAAGCATATTATTTAACATACAACAACAAATTCTAAAGAACAACATTCGAAGCATCCCCTGTCTAGTGAACAACACTCCCAGGGCATCAGCATTAATCAGCACATGGACTTTTTTTATTGCCCTTGTAGGCAAACGAGCATACGGCCCACCTGATGGTGAGTGGTTACCGTCGCCCATGGACATCAGCAATGTCACGGGCAGAGCCAAGCCGCTGCCTACCGCTTAATACTGTCCACAAGCCTCGTTTGAAGAAGGACATGTCATAGCGCTCGGGAAACACCGTGGAGGGAAGCTCATTCCATAGCCGGATGGTACGTGGCAAAAAAGACCTCTGGAAACGCACTGTGGATGACCGCAGTGGCTCCAGGTTGTATGGATGAACTCTACTCCGGTAGCGGGCGGTGCGATGGTAAAAACGAGATGCCGGTATCATCTCGAACAAGTCCTCAGAGTACTTACTGTATTCGCAGAAGATTCCATGTTTCCCGTAAGGACAGAGACAGAGGAAGCCGCTGCCGGGGTGTCGGACACAGCTGCCTCCAGCTTGACATGGATTGTTCTCGCAAACGGAAGTATCGCACTGATCGCCAAGCCAACTGAATAAAGATAATTCAATTAATATTTTTTAAGTGTTTTTTTACCGGAGTGCTCTAGGTAGCTCTAATAGCTTATCACTTACTTTGGGTCCGGAGGTTCAAGTAGCAGTTACATAGAACATACTCTTCGAACTTGAAACCGCTAGTACTAGTCGGCAAACACAACCATGGCAGTGAAATTCGTCCGGGTACCATTGATGTATTAAAAAATATCAATGCCGGGTACGCAATATGTTCAAACGCCATGAATTATATAGAGAATCGAAGCGGTTTAATATTCGTAAGAAAAAAAACTGTCTTGTAATCTTACAAGACATAGCTAAACTAAAAAGTGCTATCCAGTGGAGAATATAATATGTATATAACATGTTACATAATCTGTGTTATTCGATTAAATCATCTGTGGCTTTGAATTTTGGTGTTTGAATTTGTGGTGTACTTTTTACCTCAGAGATGTTTATAAATGTAGCAGAAATTAACATTTATTTAATGATTTTAATCTATTAATCAGTAATCATTTCGAGAAAAAAACGTATTAAGTACGATAAATAAAATAAAAATGGCGGTTTCGATTTATTTTCTACTATTACGAGATAGCACTTTTGTTTTTATTATAAAACGAGGGGTAATTACCCGTTAGCACACGAACAAGTGTAGCCCCCTTCCACTGAAGACTCTTCTCTGCAAGAGCCGCCGTTGAGGCATGGCGACGAGAGGCAAGACAGCGATACGCACTCTGTGACGTCAGCGCCGTCGTACGCCGCACTGAATACGTCACGGCTCTCGCCATTTACCTTATAACATATTATAAGCTATTTATAGTATATAGCTAGTAATTGTAAAACATTATATTCTTTCAAAGGATAAGGAGCATTATACAATTAGTTGTTTATACGTATTTGAGTTAGGGTAAAATTACAATTTGGCTTATTCAAAAAATGCTGGGTTTTTTTTTATTGCTTAGATGGTTGGACGAGCTCACAGCCCACCTGATATTAAGTGGTTACTGGAACCCATAGACATCTACAATGTAAATGCGCCACACACCTTGAGATACAAGTTCTAAGGTCTCAGTATAGTTACAACGGCTGCCCCACCCTTCAAATCGAAACGCATTACTGTTTCACGGCAGAAATAGGCAGGGCGGTGGTACCTACCCGTGCGGACTCACAAGAGGTCCTACCACCAGTATAGGTGGTGGTACCTACTCGTGCAGAGAAGACACCAAATCACCAGTAAAGATCGATCTCTTAGTAAAATTTCTCTTACTAATATATAAATTTGAATACGTAATAAATTAATTGTGGTTTCGGAAACGCATGCAACGCACACACGCAAACGGAATTTATGACTGAAACCCCATAAAATTACCATTAAATCCTTGATGCATCCCATGAACGGCTTCGTTTCCGAGTCTCGGATTTCAGGTGAATTTCCTAAATGTAGAGTTGCGTTTTGATGTAGAGTCGAAATGTTCGCGACCTGTCCCCCGCTCATTGCGACCGTATCGTTGAGACGTAATGTCGCATTACAGTGCTGCTCTTTGAGGTATAAATCCAGTCTAAGATGTTACATGAAAGAAAAGGCCAAGTTATATTAAATAAAATAAAAGTTATGATTTTCATGAAAAGTGGCGACGGCATTTCTTATTTAGGTTCATAGATAAATAGATTTTTAGTTTGAGAATGTTAAAAATCTTAATTATAAAAAAATATATTTCAACATAAATGTCAAGAACAACAACCTATAAAACCCTGATTTTATATAGGACATTTAAAAAAAATGTGTGTTGTGTTACCTCGTCTCAATTTTCATAGGAAATCCATTGTTGACGTACGTCTTTAGTTCACTCAGCAGCATGGTTTGATAGCCGCAGGAGAATTTAAATTTGAGTAATCCCGAATTTATGTACAGCTGCATGTAAACCCCGTTGGCAATGTCAACGGACATGACCTGCCCGTCCTTTATTAAAGTTTTAGCGCTGAAAGCGATCCTGAACGAGGTGCTGTTGCGTATCTTGTGAGCGACGTACGAGCCGCCACCGAAAGCGGCCGTAACAATTGAGATCGTGTCCTCGCAAAATTTCCCGGAATTTTTGAAATTGCAGTGGCACTAAAACGTCGACAGATAAGCATTCATGTAAATTAGTTTAATTAAAAAAAAAACTAAAATATGACAAAATGGATGAAAAGGTAAAGGGGGTTGCACAGGAAATGAGCTCGTCCACACATCTAAGCAATAAAAAAATAAAAAGAAAAATCATAAGATTCATTGTCATAGGAGTTATAATAAATAAAAAAAAAAAACTAAAACTATTTACGGACAATTTCACCTGGATATTATTAGTATTTAATAAATATGTAATTTGAAATGACGTATCTCAACTTTATTTATATTCGTTGCAAATATGTTTTTTGGAAAAATAATAATTAAGTAATGCCCGGGTTCGAAGTTGGGACTACTTCTTGAATGAAAGGCATACGCGGCACTGTTGAGATACAAGCATGAAAGTTCAGACTATATTGACATTGCCAACACATTTATAGATTGATATGTCTGTTATAAGTTATTTTGAAGTAAAGGATGGGACGCCCGTTGCATTCGTACTGAGCGATGCGACTGTGCCGATGTTCAAAGACCTATAAGCACTAATAACTTAACATAATATTGGTGACGAGTTTATTAGTCGATATTGAAAAAAAAATTGCCACCTCTTAGTGTACTGTGAAAATTAACTCTAATATAAAGGAATAGTCCAATAAACGATATTAAGATAAGAAACAAGATCTAAAAAAAAGAACTCACTCGAAATCCATGCGGAGTATTAACGCAAGTACCGCGATCGTTACACACCGAATCAGAGCATTCTGAAAGCGCAGTAGTTTGAGAAACGCTTTCAGAAGTTGTTTCCATTGATTCAGTACTAGTGCTGAATACGAGGGGTGTTGGCAATTCTGTGGTCGCATGCTCCGTGGGAGTATCAGTGAACATTTTCTCTGTAGTTACATCTGTCTTTGGCGTGGACGTTGTCTCCGCTGTGAAGTCCTTCAAACTTGTTTGTTCTTCAGTCCCAGCTGTAGTCTCTGTCGTCGGAAGAGCTATCTCTGTGCTTCCTCTACTCGTGGATATATAAACCGGAGTCATTTCTGTTGGAAAAGTCATTTCGAATGACATGTTCCTTGTTGTGGTTTCTTGGCAACTGTCAACGGCCACTGTGGTCGTTTCGATCTTTGAATCATCTATCTCTAAGGTCGGCTTAGTCTCTTCGCGATCAAAGACTTCAGTGACATCATTTGTGGTTAGACCAACAGTAGTAGTTTCACGATCTACGTTCGTTGAACTGTATAGATCAGTTCCAGTTACGGCATCCGTTGTTGGATTTGTTATAAAAACAATAGACGTTTGATATTCCTCCGTTGTAGTAGTCCATGATTTCGTTACCAATGTACTAATGGAGAGATTGTTATTTTCTGTTGTAAATTCTTCTTTTATTATTGATGTTAAAATGGATTGTGTAACTTCGGGTGTTGGCGTTGGACTTACATAGTCACAATCTTTAGTATTGTTGTCAAGGATTAGGCATTCGCACAGAGTTCCAGTTAGCCTGGGCGGACACGAGCATGTAAAGTTATCGATACCATCTATGCAAGTTCCTCCATTCATACATCTAGAAAACGAGATTTTTGTTACGATAAGTGCTATTATACATATGTTTAATTAAAGAACATGAGTTCTAAATACAAGATATTAACTTAAGTTTAAATGGTAATCTATACTCAATATTATTATTATAATTATAAAGAGGAAAGATTTGTTTGTTTGTTTGTATTGAATAGGCTCCGAAACAACGGAACCGATTTATAAAATTCTTTCACTATTTGGAAGCTATACTAACCCCGAGTGGCATAGGCTCTTTTTTACAATAAATTAGGGATCCTTAATAAAACTCCAATAATGTAACCCAAGGTGTAAAAAAATTACCTAAAATATTCTTTACATCGCGTGTCCTGCGAGAACTATTGATGATAGAATAAAATAATATACTACGACTTTGTAGAACACATTATTATATACAAAACGTTTTTTTTTTTTTTTGATTGAAGGATTACTGGTGGCCCGGATGCCTTTCCAGTTTCACCAGGACAGGTGGGCGAGCAAAGGCTCGGCCAGGAGGGGTGGGATTTGCTAACAGCTACCCGAGCGCCTCCGAAGGAGACCTAACAACTCAAGAGTAGCTGCTTCGCGAATGAATTTACTACCGGATCGGAATCGCGACCCGCTGAGAAGATCCGGCGAGAAACTCAGCGAGCTGATTCATGGGTTAGGTTGCACGGCGAACTCTTTGTCGAGTTCGACGAGTACGGTTACCGAGGTCCCTAAGCCTGCTCCTAGAGCTGAAGGCGTCTAGTGCAAAGGTTATTGGATCTGATGGATCCGTAAGGACGTGTACAAAACGTGTAGCGACAGCATATGTATAACTATTATAGTTATGCCGTAATAAGTGTTCTTTTATTTTACAAAATAAAACAACGTCAAATATCGTTGAAGTTTTAGACACACGAGCGGAGCCGGAGCGGGCCGCTAGTATCCCAAATTAGTCTAGATATTTATCTAATTTAATAGTTTTTGTAACCCGCCAGCGAAAATGGATCGGTCCACCTTAATAGCCCGTCCATTTAGCTCTGAGGCGAATTTCACCTTTCGGTATTTGAATAAGCTGCGGTCACTGACAAATGTTGATTAATTAAAGGTGTAAATTAAAATGCGTTTAGCGATCAAAAAGCGCTCTCAAAGGAAATATGGTTTTATTGATAAGCTCTATTTACCTAGGTCCTAATAAGCATTCGTCATATTGCAGCTCACAACGTTCCCCGTGGTAGTCTGGGACGCAATAGCACACTCGAATGCCGTCTTCGACAACACACAATGCATCATTGCTGCATGAATTTTCATCACAGAATTCTATTTGTACCTCGCAACTTTTTCCCGTGTATCCTGAGTGAAGATAAAAATTCATTATCAAAATATAAAAAAATCTAAACTATACCTACATATAATCGAAGTCTTAATATTAACAACATACTTTTATTTATTTTTCGTAAAGTTTCTAGTAAATGTGAAAAAGTTGTATTCTGGAAACTTCGATAATTGTAATTAGTTCGACATGTCTATGGACATCACGGCATGAATGCCGTTACCTTAAGACATGAGGTCAAAATATTGTATTGTACAGCGGCTGTCCGACATCTAAAACCGGAATACATGACTGGTAAAAATAGACGGGATGGTGCTACATACCCGTATGGGCCCAATATAACCTGCCAGTAAGATCACACAACTAGAAAAGATACTATATTTTATTATAGATAGATATTATACTGTATTATTCGAAGTCGTCGTGGCGTGGCCTAAAGGATAAGACGTCCGGTGCATTCGTGTTGAAGCGATGCACCGGTGTTCGAATCCCGCAGGCGGGTACCATTTTTTCTAATGAAATATGTACTCAACAAATGTTCACGATTGACTTCCACGGTGAAGGAATAACATCGTGTAATAAAAATCAAACCCGCAAAATTATAATTTGCGTAATTACTGGTGGTAGGACCACTTGTGATAGGTACCACCGCCCTGCTTATTTCTGCCGTGAAGCAGTAATGCGTTTCGGTTTGAATGGTGGGGTAGCCGTTGTAACTATACTGAGACTTTAGAACTTGTATCTCAAGGTGGGTGGCGCGTCCACGTTGTAGATGTCTATGGGCTCCAGTAACCACTTAACATCAGGTGGGCTGTGAGCTCGTCCACCCATCTAAGCAATAAAAAAAAAAGTACTATATTAAATAGATATTATAGGTATAATAAGTAATAGAAGATATTATTTCGTACCATAAGTACAAGCACACATGTAGTCGTCATGAACATCAATACATACTCCGCCATTCTGACAAGGATTAGATTGGCACTCGTCGATTTGTTCATCACATTTAGCGCCCGCCCATCCTGTAATTCATTTCACGCACTTAAATCTTGCAGCAAATTCTTAGTCTAGTCTAGTGTTTTGACATTAAAACATCTAGAGCAGTTGTACTGTACTACAATATAAAATAGCAGCGAATTCTATTTAGGAATACGAAAATCAATTAGGCAACGCGTGAAGAAGACGTATGACACATATTATTTATTGACACATATCATGCAAATTGATGCAATAAAGTGTGAAAAATGAAAATAGATTCCGTGAAAAACGAAGAACAACTAATTAAAATAAACTTTAAGTGATCTTTCATTTTCTTTTTTTTATTGCTTAGATGAGTGGACGAGCTCACAGCCCACCTGGTGTTAAGTGGTTACTGGTGCCCATAGACATCTACAACGTAAATGCCGCCACCCACCTTGAGATATGAGTTCTAAGGTCTCAGTATAGTTACAACGGCTGCCCCACCCTTCAAACCGAAACGCATTACTGCTTCACGGCAGAAATAGGCTGGGTGGTGGTACTTACCCGTCCGGTCTCACAAGAGGTCCTGCCACCAGTAAAATATTTCGGTAGTATTTTTAACGTCGATTTTTTTATTCAATGGATGCGCTTAGTCAGAAAAGCATTTTTTGATAATGAAATGTACATATGTGTATTTTTTAATCAAGTCGATTTACCGGATGAGCATTTGCAATAGAACTTGTAGCCGGGTCCCTCGATACACTCGGCGCCGTTGTAACAGCGGACTTCGGTGGAGTTGCACATGGCGACGTCCAGTTCACAGTGCTCCCCTGAGAATCCGGGCACGCACGAGCACATGTATCCGTTAGTTAGGTCGATGCACGTGCCATTGTTCAGGCAAGGATTTGATTCGCACTCGTTGACGTTCGTCTCACAATTGTCACCTGTGAATTTAAGGAATGGTTTATGTTTAATTTGCGCGACTGTATCGGCTTTAGCTTTTTTTAATTTACGTGTTTCTTCATTGCTCCTTGAAAAGGGGAAGATCGATGAAGACATTAGGTACTACTGTTGCATGTATGGACTCCAATAGCTACGTGGGCTGTGAACTCATCTACAAATATACATATGACAGTTATCAGCATCCTCATCAACAAACAGATCTCCACTGCTGGACAAACTAATGGCCAATTCGTTTTTCGACTGTTGTATTACGGTCATATATTTCCTAATCATAAGAATAATGCAACAATATGATTAGTAAGAAACTAATTTAAATATAAATTAATTAATCACTCATGAATTAAAGTTGAAAACGTGCAGAATGTAATTAGAACCCTACCATACATTGTCTTTGTAATTAACTTAAATTTGTAATCGACTTATTTGATAGATCCTTTTAAGTTGAATGCTTCATTAAGCTAAGCCAAATTAAAGTTCGTTAACGTTTCGTCACCTGTTCAAATAGACAATAGCACACAAAACAAATTAATGTACAATAAAAAGGACGGAATATAGGATTTGCATCAAGAATAGAGCCATTTTGAAACCAAAGACTGTGTATATCAATTGTTTTATGCTTTCGCAGCTACCTGGCTACATTCTTATCATGATTGTTAGTTCTAATGAGATACCAAACATTTTGACGTTGTTGTAAGCGCCATAATCATGGCTACACGTTCAGTTACAATGTTTATAATTTTTGTATTAATTCGAATATACACAAAAATATACAATCATTTTCGTTCTGAAAAGTGTGCGTATTCGAAACGTTGGTAATAATATAATGATAATAAAAACGCAATGTCAAACGTTAAATTAGTTTTAATTATGTTTACGACTCAAGAAAACCGAAAGAAATACTATTATACAATTCTGATACATAACATAATACAGTTGGTTGAAATAAGAACTGGGAATACCTGTAGCTGTATTCGTTATCATCATCGTCGGAAGAAAGATCCGTAGTGGTGGACATAGGCCACCAAAGTGCACCATACGACAGGGCCAGCGATACGATTTTGTTAGCCCTTTGACTGCCGTGTAGGTCACCAGTGCCCTACACGGCGCACTGAAGTAATTATGTCGATTTCTGTTACTAAGGCGCCTGGATAACTTTGCCTTCTTTTATTTGTGAATGTATGTTTTAGTCTTGAGGTCTCTTAGAAATAGATTCACTCTCAGTATCTTCAAATTCGTCTATCCCAAAGTCTACTGGATATTCCGGCGCCTTATAGCGAAGATCGAAGAGAGAAATCGACATAATTACTTCAGTACGCCACGTAGGGCACCTGTAACGTATATGGCATTCAAAGAGTAAATATGTCACCTTCTGTTATGTGCTTACAGGAGCCCATAGATATCACGACATAAAAACCGCCCACCTAACCCGAGACTTAAGGTCCAAGCTTACATTTTTTTGTACAACAAACAGGTTTGAGCCGTAAAATTGTGGGACATAAGAATTTATAATCAGAGTTTCGATTGGTTATAGTGGTCTTATGAATAAAGGTGTAGTCGGATATCTGTTAGTAGGTTTATAAAGTTAACTAATGTTGTATACTAACATATAATAAGTGAGGCGTCTTAAGACCCGCACGGATGGGTATCACCAACCTGCATATTTGTGCCTTGAAGCAACAGTCCGTTTGAAGGGTGAGCGGCCGTTTTACTATAAAACGGAGACTTAGAACTCATGTCTCAAGGTGATATCAATGAGTTACCGTAACCACATAACACTAGGCAGGCCGTGAGCTCGTCCACACATACAAATAACCAAATTAAAAACTCGCCAATAAATCCCTCAGGACAGGAGCAGTTGTATGAAGCCACGCCGTCAACACAGCTGCCTCCATTCAAACAGGGGCTCGACCAGCATTCGTCCCAATTGGTTTGACATTGCACGCCAGTGTAACCATCAACGCAGTAACAAGAGTATGTACTGAAAAATTACATATTTTTATTAGATCGGTATATAAATAGGTAGAGAAAAAAAAATCGAATTTTTGAAGAAAATTCACAGCATTTTTAATATAGTTTATTTACATTTAACTAAAGTATGTAGGTACCATTTTGTTCGATAACTTTTTGCCATCTTGTAGGTAGGGACATAATCTCATTGCTATAGAAATTTTGGGGCTTCTGATCAAAATACCGCGACAATTGGTTTTGACAGTCCTCTCGTGATGTTGACCTGACACTGCCTAAAGAATTCTGAAGAGACCGAAACATGTAGAAATCTGAAGGTGCAAGGTCAGGACTATACGGCGGATACATTAACACCTCCCAGCCAAGCTCTTTGAATTTTTGCTGAGTGGCTAAATATGTGTGAGGTCTAGCGTTATCATGATAAAAACCACACCCCTTCTGTCGATTAATTCCGGCCGCTTTCTCTCAACTTCTTGCTTTAATCTCATCAGTTGTTTGCAGTAGAGTTCAGAATCGATGGTCCTGCCTGGTAACAGCTCATAATGAATAATGCCCTTCCAATCCCACCACACACACAGCATCACCTTGTTGCGAGTTAACCCGGGCTTCGCCAGTCTGTGAAACCGGACCGGCCTTTGACCACGACCTTTTTCGCACGTTCTTGTCGTACGTGATCAACTTTTCATCACCAGTTATCAGCTTCTTCAAAAATGGTTCGGTTTCGTTACGTCATAATAAATAATTACAAATGAGTACACGGTTCATTAGGTTTCTCTCAGTGAGCTCGTGAGGTACTCAAATATCGAGCTTCTTTGTGTACAGTTTTTTTTAAATGCGCCGAAACCGTTTTGTGGTCAATTCCCAGTTCTTCAGCTACGTCTTAACTACTGATATGCCGATCTTGCCCCATTTTTTTAAAAATGGCATCCATTTTATCCGTACTAGGGCGATCAGAGCGACGTGCATCTTTGACATCAAATTTTCCGGATTGAAAACGCTTAAACCAAATTTGTGCTACTCTCACAGACACTGCACTAGGTCCATAAACATCGCAATTTTTTTTCACGGCTTGCATTGTGTTTTTACCTTTTTTGTGGTAAAAATTTAAAATGTATCGAATTTCTTCATTAGGTTCACTCATCTTGACAGTACGAAAAATAAATAAAAATCACATATTTTTCTAATTTGAATTTGGAATTATCTTCTTTAAAATTTAAACTTTTAATGATACCAAAACCAGCCAGATACAAATTACAAGATTTTTTTTACAAAAAAAGAGATTTTATTACAAGCTTATACATACTATAATGCGAAAAGACTCTTTCTTCAACCTATTATTATTATGGGTGTTCGTATAAATCGGAATCTTTAAACGTGTTTTTCACAGACTTCAAAACGTCACATTGCCTTGAAAATTTGCACGCGCATCAAATACATACCGATGACACTACAATAATTTTATATCTTCGCTCTCATGTATCCTATCCAGTATACTAGTATCAACGAGATTTAAAAAAGGACGGTTAGTAATTTATTAGTTCGAAAGTTAGTTCGGTATGCTATTTAAGCGTTTTTTTGTTGTTTTTAAACTACATATATTTATTTAAGTATAAGTGGTTTTTTACCCCAAAGCTAAACACCGAAGAATACTCTAATTCAACACAAGCGGTGAATAGTCAAAGAACATACAGTGCAGTCCATTTTCTCTATTTCCCTAGTTCTTTCTCTCGCGAGTCCTAAGGAAAATCGGTTGATAAATAAAAATCTTACTCTGTTTATCAAGTGATTTTTCTTGTTTGTTTTTTAGTAGCTTTTGAGTTTGAACGTTAAGAATTATAAACTTTTTAATTTACGTTATCGAAACCCAGAGAAGTCAAAGTGTTTTTGTTACGAAGAAAAGATTACTGGTGGCCCCAAGGTCTTTCCAGTTTCACCAGAATAGGTGGATGAGCACGGGGCTCAGTCAGGAGGGGTAGGATTTGCTAACAGCTGTCCGAGCGCCTCCGAAGGAGACCTAATAGCTCAAGGGTAGCTGCTTCGCGAATACTTCTACTACAAGATCGGAATCGCGACCCACTGATTAACGTCAAAATGTGAACACCACCACCACCACGAGACATAAGGTCTAAATCACAATTGTAAATATAGTAAGTAATTTTAAGTATAACGGCTATCACACCGTTCAAATCGGAACCTATATATGCTTCGTGACATTTATTTAGTTTGGGTTTTTATTACACAATGTTATTCCTTCATCGTGGAAGCCATTTGAGAACTTGTGTTAAGTACGTATTTTATTACAAAAAATGGTATCTGCTTGCGGGATTTGTACCTCGGCACAATCGATCGATACGTGCACGTCGCGCCGTGTGGCTCCTTAGACCTCGGCGCCACAAAATTAAAATAGATACTATGCTTTTAGTGTCGAGTGTTTCCTGAGCCGCACCCCTGATATCCGAAAGCTCATGTGAATCCTGCTATATATATCTGGTTTGGAGACACGAAGCTATAAACACTTTGGTAAGGGTAACCGCTGCCCAAGAAGTTCATTATCCTTGCTCGGTCATCACACTCGTAAAGTATGTGATGTGTAGATTCCATACCCTCCTTGAATAATTTATATGTTGCGTCGTCACCCAAGCTCTTCTTGTTTAGGTTCTTCCCAGTACCGAAATGTAGGGTGAGCGCCCCAAGTAGGTAAATATCTTAGGCTTCTACAAAGCTATGTGACTTTATCTGCATTAGCTTCACTAAGGAGTTCTTTTTAATGTCCTAACTCGTTTTGGTCTTGGAGTAGTTTTTCAATGCATCATAGACCATCATCATGGGAATCCCTATGCAATATGATTCGGGTACTATCATTGCTTTATCCGAGCCCAGTTTTGGTAACTCAGCAACTAACTTTAGAAGTCGTCGTGGACTAAAGGATAAGACGTCCGGTGCATTCGTATGTAGCGATGCACCGGTGTTCGAATCTCGCAGGCGGGTACCAATTTTTCTAATGAAATACGTACTCAACAAATGTCCACGATTGACTTCCACGGTGAAGGAATAACATCGTGTAATAAAAATCAAACCCGCAAAAATTATAATTTGCGTAATCACTGGTGGTAGGACCTCTTGGGAGTCCGCACGGGTAGGTACCACCACCCCACCTATTTCCGCCGCGAACCAGTAATGTGTTTCGGTTCGAAGGGTGGGGTAGCGTTGTAACTATACTGAGACCTTAGAACTTATATCTTGAGGTGGGTGGCGCATTTACGTTGTAGATGTCTATGGGCTCTAGTAATCACTTAACACCAGGTGGGCTGTGAGCTCGTCCATCCATCTAAGCAATAAAAAAAGCCTTTTTATTTCTTTCGACACCAAAAGGTCCAGGTCCAAAATACCCAGTTAAAATTGGCACCGTTGTGCCGCTGCTTATTAAGTATCCATAGCCACTCCAGCGTTAGTTCGGAGTCTATTTCAGTAGCGTCCAAACTTGAGAGCAGCCTGACTTATTTACATTACTTTTTAGATTGGTAATTTTTATTTTTATGTATTCGGACGAAATAGAGCGAGCGGTTCCCTGTGATCCGTTTATAAAGAAGAGTATTAGTTTCCCTCCGAGATGCTATTATGTTATTTTTACCAATTTATTAAATGTGTCCCCACAGAGTAAAGTTCACCTAGTAGTTTAATGGGAAGAAGAAACTTGAGGAAGAGCAACGTGAAATTGACAATGCAAGTTGAATAAAATAGTTAACACAGTATGAACCATGAGCAACTAAGACCACACTTCACGCTAAGTACAGATGATTTACGGAAAGATATCCCAGTTACACCTTTAGCATTAAATGCCTCAGCTACAAGTGTGTTTACATTAAATTATTGTAAATTCTTTTGAAATGTTATCGAAATAGTATTGCATACACATTACATTTATGAAAATTATCTTTGAAAGATCTCTTTGAACCCGTAACCCGTCCCTTAATTAATTATACGTGAATCAAGTAAAATCCTATTAACACATAAATTAAAAGGTTAAAAGGGTAAATTAAAGGGTTAAAAAAAGAGAAAAATCTTAAACATATTGTCTTAATAAACAAACCTTTTTTATGAGCATTACCTGTTCACATCATCGATGCATATGCCGTGTAGGCAAGGGTTGCTAAGGCAGGAGAGGCCTGCGGATGCCATCCTGACCGCGGCTAGCCACCACACAGCACGCAAACAAGACTTTACTTTTTCATACATTTTAAATTTAATATTTAATCAAAAGACCATTAATTCACATTTTTTTAATAATAATGAAATTAAATAATCAATTTCAAACCACAAGAGATCAATACGAATTACGATTAAATTCGATTTTGAGATGTAGAATGACACGAATTAATATAAAACTTTAAAGAACACACTTAATTTTAACGTAACACGATCCTTGAATAGTTGTTAAACATAAATCGAACTACGCACAAAGGATAGGTGGCCGCCAGTGCTCAGTGGAACGAAAAACTGGGTCTCATAAGTGAGGCGTGGTATACCACCGTCCGTCGTCATGACAACTCAACTAATCACACACTACATCACAATGTGGTACACGCGTTATTGATATAATTCGTATAACAATCCATTAGTAAGGCTGGTTAAAGCTACCTTATTAAAATTTAAAACATAATAATAGTTGTTATACATATAAATCTCGAAATTTTCTAGGACGCGGTAAAACCAAAACAATTTCAAAGTTAGAATTGTCAATTTCAAATGACTTGTAAAGCCTATTGACTGTAAGCGTCATATTTAATTTTATTGGGAAGCTACATAAACCGTAGATTCTTCGTCATTATTGTGAAAAGTAAAAAAAAAAAAAATATCTATTATAAAATTACCTCTCGTATGTATAAATTTAGGCGATTTAATTTCCTTTCATAATAATCGATTTGAATCTTTATTTGCAACATTCATAATGAAATAAAAATGCCAAATAAAAATTTAGTTATCAATAAAGCTACATAAAAATCCCGCCAAACAAGTTAAAAGATTCCACTAATTTCATTGGTAAAAAGAAACCAATGGAAACGTTCATTTTGAAGGCTCCAATAACATTTGCCGTTATCAACATCTGTTCACAACTTTTGACAGCTGGGAGCATTGTCCAATTAGAATTAATAACGAGTCATACATTCGAAAACATCTTATTGATGAAAGTAACTTTTCGTTTTTAAACAAAAACTGCATCAGTTTTCAGCTAATAATAAATTATCTTATATTTGTGCTGCTGTATTAGCTAATTCTAAATTAAATTATTTTTTGTTAATAGGATTTGATAGTTTTTCTTTCTGAAGTTTTTTTGAATTCGAACACTTCTTCGACGAAGTCAAGGTTTCAAAACGACTTGCAAACGTTTTCAAAAACCAACATGTGAAAGGTGGAACAATAACGTGAAAATCTTATTAGATTTTGCTTTGTCAATAAGTTTCTATAGCAGAGGTTTCATATTTTACTTTACTGAAAGGTTTCATAGTGCACAGCGAACACATCAAAATAAAATACAATAGGTGTTTAATTGAAGAAATAAGAGTAATAGTTGTTGAAAATGGATCCTGGAATCCTTTGTTTCCACCATTGTGATCACAAAGTATTTTGTACAATTATCCCAGAACAGTGCCCAGTGTGTAAACAAAATTTGGATAGATATGACTACAATCTATTGCCTTTCAGGTAATTCTTTTGTTATAATGTTTTTTAAACTGATCAAACGTGACATATGAAGGTCGTCGCTAAATGCCCTAATTTTGTTTCAGGGTACCTTATCCTTTTGTGAAAGCGTCCCAGCATCCTCGTGCAATTGTAATGAAACCTACACACGGTGACTTTTTAAAGTGAGTAACGAAATTTATATCTCAGAATTTGTGTGAGTCATTGTTCTTATCATAAAAGTTATGTTATTTATTTTATTTTAGCGATTATTATAATTCCAAAGACTTGCATATAGGCGTGACCAATTCCCATGGTTGTGTAGTAGAGTTTAGTGAAAAAGGAATACGAGGGGTTGATAACGCTGTGAAACAATGGAGTGATTTTGACACGAGTGCTGATTGGGACCAATGTCTTCTATTGGAACAATTTGATGAACTTTGGAATGAAATATGGGACAGTGTTCTTTTAAAGGTAAATCAGGTAACATTAGGTATAATTGTGTTTATAATTTTTAGGGTTCTATAGATTGACAATAGAGTTGTTTTTTGTAACATAATGACTTTTTGAAATAACTTATTTTGCAGCTGAGTCGAATTGATCTTCAGTTTACTGATCACCTTGTGGAGTAATCTCAAAGACCTGAGTTGTGATGCCTTATATGTTGCTAGTCTAATGAACTTTGGTAGTATGTGAATAAGGATCTTAAACAGGCTTTGCATAAATTTCTGTTTACAACATCATAGTAACTTCTTTGCTAGATTTATATATTTAATTATTCTACTATGATACTTATTTTCATCTTTATTGTTAAACACTTACTTTTTTCATTGTTATCAGGTGAGTCTGAGTCCATTCTGGCAGGCAGACAAATATAATGAAGAGAGACACAACTGCTTCACCTTTGTGCTAACATTCCTGAGAGCTCTTGACTGCGGGGAGCTTTCAGAGAAAGCCCATGACCCCAAACTCTTCTGTAAGCAGTATGTGGTGCCAAGAACATCAGCGGCTGGAAAGTATATTTCGTTATATAGACAGCTTAAGAGGCAGAATTATTTCATACAGAACCAATGATAGCCTATGAGTATCTTTTAATCTATGTATTTATTTAGCACATATTCAGTATTAACTGTGATGTTTTTATATTTAGATATAAGATTTGTTAAATTAAAACGCATTTACTGTAGACCAAACGAATTTTTTCTTTTTTTTAATCATTTAATAGTAATGATTTATTTTTGTTCTTTTTGCTTGGAAAAAAGATCTCAAATGTGAGAATGTTATTTGGAATTGATTACAGGTGTTAATTTAAGAAAATGTATTCTATATGTTATCAATTCAGTCAAGTATTTTAGAAAGGATTTGAAAATTTTTCATCTGGGATTTAAACAGATGTCAGTAAAGGAGTGGGCTCAGCTTGTTTTTTAAAAATCTTAAATATTTATAATTTTCAAGGGTCTCAGACTATTTATATACATGATTAATTTATTTATTTATCTCATCAGTGTTCAATAGAATTAATGTCTTGCCAGTTATGCTGTAGTCATAGATACTATTAATATATAATAAAAACTTATTTGTAAAGGAAAATGATTCTTCACTCAAACACAATAACTAACTGGGATTAACATATCTTAAACTTTTGTACTTTTTTAGTGAATATCTAAATTGTAGTTAATGTTCAATTAGCCATTCTATATATTTACATGTGGTTCATTGAAAACGATGTGTCATTCTTCTAAATGACGTGCTAGTATTGCTGTGTTTCTTACTAACAGATTGAGTCTTTGTAAACCTACATCAAATGAAAGAAAAGAAAACAATACATACTATATATGTATGCATTGCGAACATGATTGAGATGTAATATGCTCTAGTACTATTCTCTGTTAAAAACTATTCACATGACATTCAAAAATTTAAGTACTAGCTTTACCGAACTTTTGTAAGGTGGCACTATTGTATTTACAACTGTTCCCAGACAATCTTCTACCTAAATAGCAGCAGCTTGCCCTGGTAGCTGGTTTTGCCGATATCCATAAGCAACAGTGACCATGACCATGATGGTTTTGGAAAGTTCTTGTTTGTTTCTTCTAAGTATACTGATGCATTCAGATTGTGATTTCCATGGGCACCGCTAGCCACTTAATGCTAGGCGGGCTAAGAGAGATTGATACATTTTTATCTTTAAAAAATTAATCTGATAATATGTATAAAATATTATTATGAAGCAATATGTTCAAATTTAAATATCTAAAAATAATTGTCGTGATTTAATAGTGGATATGTTATGTATAATTATATGATCACTGTAGTAATTTCAATATTAATCTTATGCCGACTAATTGAGACTATGGCGTGAATGTCAATGTGAATAGAATTCAGTGTTAGAATTGCTTCATTGTGAATTGTTTGACCTTTACTCCTGCGCCATTCCAAAACTTTATGTATTGGCCTCTCTAATAATATTACCTACTTACCTTGCGGTCTTCAGAATCTATTGCTTAATATTATACCATTAAGGAACTAAAGGAGTTGTGTTTGAAATGTTGAAAAGCCAGTATCTATAGTTTGTTTATATCCTCAACATTACATTTTGCAGCAATAAATTGATGACACATCAAGTTTTGCAACATTTAATATCGTCTCACTATAGATACGAGCATCGGTTCCTATTCTTATAACTGAGACTTCAACTTTAAGAACATTAGAAATGGATCTCGAAGACATTTTTAGGTGCTATGTGTCTAAATAAAGTATTTGTTAACATGAAAACGAAGTTTTAATTAAATACCTTTATTAACAGTAAATACTTAAATTAGTTATTCCTTAAATTAGATATTTAATTGGTAACAATCATGTTCATTCAGTATTACAAGTACGAAATAGCTCACGAAATATGTACATACATCTATAAATCTATTATTATGTAACTATGACTAAATTATATATTAATTAATAACTTTAACTGGTGCAGATTCTAATCCCACCCAAAACTTTGCGCCGTTGTAGGCCACGGTAGCTCTGAAATAGAAAGAGTATGCTTTAAGATAAATTGTGTTTTTTTTACTGTTTAGATGGGTGGACGAGCTCACAGCCCACCTGGTGTTAAGTGGTTACTGGAGCCCATAGACATATACCACGTAAATGTGCCACCCACTTTGAAATACAAGTTCTAAGATCTCAGCATAGTTACAACGGCTGCCCTACCCTTCAGACCGAAACGCATTACTGCTTTACGACAGAAATAGGCAGGGCGGTGGTACCTTTTTTTTTATTGCCCTTGTAGGCAGACCAGTATACGGCCCACCTAATGGTAAGTGGTTACCGTCGCCCATGGCCTTCAGCAATGCCAGGAGCAGAGCCAAGCCGCTGTCTACCGCCTACCCGCGACTAACAAGAGGTCCTACCACCAGTAAGCTGTATTTCAAACTTTTTTATCAAATCGTTGGTAGCTTTGGGCTATTCCAACTATGCGCAGACGGAGAGGTAAGTTCACAAAGCTCAACTTTTTTAGCTTACTTGAGTGCTTCGTGGTATCTATAATTGCGACCCACTGAGAGGATTCGGCTAGAGAGTGGTGACCACGAAAACTATAGTAGGTATTCGAAACGTCAGAAATAATATAATGGCAACTAAAAACGTGAGATTGTACCGTAAAAGTGTTTTTAAATTTAAATCTAACTAAAACACGCGAAAACCGCAGAAAATGCTATAATCATTTTTATTCTTTAATAAAATTAGAAAAATAGCATTTCGTTACGTGCATCTATTCGCCTGTGTAAAGTTATCTATCATAAATATTTTTAAAGATAGCAGACGATCATGAAATTTTTTTGAACGTAATATAAATTTGATAAAATTAATTAAAATAATGATGCTATACGAATTAGTCTTTATTGCCCATTGGCATCTAAATAACCAATTCATTGATTTGATATAAATTTGAGTTTTGACAAGTCAATGCCGACTTGTTTCACAATCGTACACTGAACTTTGCGCTGTAAAAGAATACGTTACTTCACATAGGTATAGCTGACAGATGTTTCGCAAATATTGGTAGATATATTAGTCCCGCGATGTATTAACTCCAAATGTTCATTCCATTTTTTAGAATTTTATTTTACCCAAGAAAGCTGAAGGATTACTGGTGGCCCAGAGGCCTTTCCAGTTTCACCAGGACAGGTGGGCGAGCAAAGACTCAGCCAGGAGGTGTGGGATTTGCTAACAGCCGCCCGAGCGCCTCCGAAGGAGACTTAACAACTCAAGCACAGTTGCTTTGCGAATGAGTCTACTACCGGATCGGAATTGTGACCCGCTGAGAAGATCCGGCGAGAAACTCAGCGGACTGATGTATGGGTTAGGTTGCACGTCGAACTCTTTGTCGAGTTCGATGAGTATGGTTACCAAAGACGTCTAATGTAAAGGTTATTGGATCTGATGGATCCGTAAGGACGTGTCTAGGGTGTCGATGGTTACTGGCTCCTGCGTGATCAGGATTCAGGGAGTAGCTAGCGGCGACAACGATAAGGCGCTTATCATGACGCATAGCCTTATCGAAGTAGAAGATAGACTCATCTACCTACCTGAATTTGATTTCGTCGTTGAAGCCCACAGGTGGAGTCCAAGTATACGCAACAGTTTGTTTGTCATATTGTTCATCGTGCTTCTTGTGAGTCACTGCATTCTGTAAGTATACAAAATAATATATGAATTTTGTACGAACAGTAGAAAACAAACAGAAAATCGATTACATATAGTATTATATTTAATTAGGAAATATAACCATAAATTTAAATTGTCGTTTATTAATTAAAGCTTTTTTTTTATAATTTAAATTTTGTTTTTTTATTTTACAGTGATAATATTTAAGAGAAAAAATCTCAATATAAATTGTAAAACTAGACTCGTTAGTTGCTTTTTGGTCAAGGCTCTTCTCCAGTGCCGAACTCACACAAACGACCCCACGGGCTAATCCCCAGAGCGACTAATTTTGGAAAGTGTGCAACAACATGTTCCTTTCCGTTATGGAGGTTAAAAGTTTGAAAAGTGTGATTAGTTATATATTTAAAATATTAATAAATAAGAAATACGTACAGTAAATTTGCATATTTTAAGATTAATTTTGGTTTTTATAGTATTAGTTATGTAAAGATATATAATTTTTATAAAAAATTGCACCAGACCTCCTAGTTTTTATAAAACGTGAGACTGCATTGTTAACGGTACCCCGCGGGCGGCACTTCAGATAAGTCCGGCCCTGCTCTTAAGCATGGTGTAGCAAAGTTATATGCAAGGCTTTACGAAACGAAGAAACATACTTTAGTCTAAATGTCATGACAAAGAAATTAGGCAATTGTCAAAAACAAAACGTGCACGGAATAAACGTAGCTGCAGCTGAAACCTCAAAGTCATGTCTCAAGACAAGCATCGGGACTCACGTTGGTGCTTTTAGACATTTCAAGCTCTGGTCACCTTTTTCGTCGTGCGACGTGAAACTTACTCCACTTAGTTTCTCATTGGATCTTAGGGGGTCGCAATTACTGCTCTTACTAAAGTAGATGCTAGCAATATCTCTCAGGTTGGACCCCGTGAGCTCGCCTAATAGTTCGGTAAAACCTAAATAAGCTCCTCGAGGCTATTTGTAACTAGGTACGGGAAAAAACATGTTGCGTAGCTATCTATCTCAGCCTATGCTCAGCCACCACTTAATTCCGGTCGGTAACGAACTCATCTATTTTCACTAAAGTAAAACTATAATCTTATTAATGATGCTTAAATCATGAATAAACAAACACGTTATTAACATTGATAGTAATTCGCAATTTATTATTTTAATTACAAGTAGGTACTAACGTACCCACTAAGAACGAAGTTGACACTAGCGGAAGTCACGAAATGCATAGATTTGTATAGTCACTTAGGCTTTTTTTCGTTTGTAAAAATTAAATACCTACGTTAGCATTCAAGGTTGACTATTTAATAATCGGGATTGCATTGAAGTAGGTACTTAAATTGTCTAATGACTCTCAATTCAAAGTTACCTTAAGCTATGTATTTACTGTCGGAACTTAAGTATTACCAAAAAATAACTCATGTATTTTTTTCTGATAGCACGACTTTGAAGCTGGCGTTCGTTTCATTACTTAAGATGGAAGTTTGAATTCTATTGATATTGGGAACACAATTATTGCTTCACGGTGAAACAGGCACAGGTAGCTTCTTAACATCACTACTGAATTAGAACGTATCCTTTGGTAAATAGTTTTACAAATTGCTGTTATTTCTGTCGGGCTAAACTCTCTACTACTGTATTTAACATAAAAAAAGGTAACCAATAGGATGAACAAAAATAGGTGACAACAGCGCAATATAACCGGAAAATAACTTAAATCTAATATTAACCTTATGTTTATAGGTAAGCTAAATATAAACAAATTATATATCAATTAGAATTTTTGTAAAGGCAGACAAGATTATAGTGTCCTTGCCCGCAGACGATGAGTAACAACGGAGGTCATCGCATCTAAAATGGTGTTCTGTTAAGCATTAAGTGGTGGCATTAATAACGAAAGGCTAGCTTGATAAAGCTATTAATAGTTTATAGTAATTCAGTCTCTTTTTAAATAAATAATTATAATTTTATTACTAGTATAGAAAGGATTTTTACCCATTTGGACACATTTGAGACCATTTTGAAATAGTAAATTAATAAAATGTACTCACTCCAGGCTCGCCGCAGTTGAGTAGTTTCGCGAATTGGTCGTTAGGGTTCAAAGTGAACTTGCCGACAATATTGTTACCCTGGCGGGCTTCGAGCAGCAGACCGCGGATAATGTTCTCTGGCTTGTTACCGCTGATCACAACTTCCATGGGAGTACCGGCTTTGACTGTCTAATGAGATAATAAAATACATTAAAACATCTTGGTGGAAATTATTTGCGTGACCTTCTAGATCGTGTCAAGGCTCGATAGGAACGAAAATATTATGTTAATAGCATGTTGTTCTCATGGACTTTTAAAATTATAATTTTTGATTTGGGCCGTTAACAAATAGGACGAAGTGCCTGAACAGAATTTGTTGAATCATTTATGTCGATGTTTGTGAAGATGACTTTTTGAAAGATTTTTTTCTTCCTTTATTATTATTTGTATTGTTATTTATATTCGAGGCAAATATTGAACCGTATGTTCTGGATAATAACTAAGTTTTACAAACTGTCGGCGGTTGTAATAATTCTGATTCTTGACTGACAGTAAAATCGAAGTAGCGCCAGCGTCGTTCCAATGCAGGATGAAATATTTATCTAAGAGCAAAGTATAAAGCTTATTAGGGCTCGGGAATAGCTTATGATGTTGTAGGTATATGACGAATCACTCGATTTTTTTAGTACAACACCGGAAGCATTTATGATTTGCGATTGTCGTTACATGCTCGGTTTTAGTTTGACGGACAGAGTTTGAAAGATTGCGGATATTTATTTTAAGCAATTGGATTTCAGTGTCCGGAACACATGGACAAAGAACTGGAGCTTATTCGAACAATCTAGCGGCGCGAGGTCGCCTTCCGCGGACACGTGCTTAGAAATACAATTTTTAACGAAATGAAATGTAATGTACCGGTAAGATATTAGAAAAATCATAACCCGCAAAATTACAATTTGCGTAATTATTGGTAGTAGGACCTCTTGTGAGTCCGCACGGGTAGGTACCACCACCCTGCCTATTTCTGCCGTGAAGCAGTAATACGTTTCGGTTTGAATGGCAAGGCAGCCGTTGTAGCTATACTGAAACCTTAGAACTCATGTCTCAAGGTGGGTGGCGGTATTTACGTTGTAGATGTCCATGGGCTCCAGTAACCACTTAACACCAGTTAGGCAGTGAGCTCCTCCAACTATCTAAGCAATAATAAATAAATAAATAAAAGACAAATGTAAGATAAAAAACTGTCCAGATAGCTCTAGACAAGTTTACAGCAGTGTTTGCCAGCCTTTGGTAGGTATTATAGTTTCACTTAAAGTAAATGTAATTTCGTCTATTCGCCTGAACTGTTCTTTTGGGAAATTAAATTAAAAAGTAACTACAATGAAAATAAAAAGATAATGGACGACATTCGTCACATGTAAATAATTGAAGGATAAAATTCGGTTACACACAAACTTGCGCTCAAAAGTTAAGGAGATATACGCTTCTAAGCCCGTGAAATGTACGCTTCCCTTTACATTTTTTAAACATCTAATGAGCCAATATCTGAAAAAACTTGAAAATCTTTCAATCTCATTTGAAGTAGAATTAATTGTTTTTATATGTAAGAGATTTACGGGCACAGGCTGCTTAGAAATCTGCAGTAGGTAAAGTATAATTTTAATGGAAAAATGAGTTTCTTTGAATTTTATCGCAAAATGTTTATCTCAATTAAATTAGAATTGATTGTGTTAAATACGATATACACATGTCTGATTTTTTGTTTGGTTTTTGCTTAAAACAAAAAACGTCTACCGACTACAAAAGTACGGCTACTTTAAGTATTTAATTCGACTAATGTGATGAGTGAAAAAGAGACATTTACCTTTGTGCTGGTTGTAATGGTGTAAGGTGGTGTAGACGTTTGAGGACTGACAGGATGCTTCGGGATCATGTCAACGCATGCACTCTCTGGTGCCCCAGAAGAATATGCGTTGGCATAAGACGCCACGCAAAGTACACCGACAGCATATAAGAAACGCATTTTTTAGATTTTAACCTGAAATAATTTAAATTTTGTACCAAATTGAAGTAGTTAATTCAAACGCTCGGGAATAAGTTAGACGCACCGCGGCAGTGTAGTCGTACGATCCCTTTTAATAATCCTAGGGTTGATGCCCTAATTTCCAAGTAACTACTGCGAATCAATTGCGCTTCTAACACGTGTGCATGAAAAAAATAAAATAATGTATTATTGTAGATAAGCCATGTCCATTCTGGTGTTGAATTGTTACCGGAGACGACATTCTTCCTGGCTTAAATTTGTCAGGTGCATTTAGGTTTTCGTGCGGTTTCAAGTAACCGATTAACTTTAGTCGGATCGCGAGTTACAATCTTTGCATCGATTCACGTCATTCTAAAGCGGGTCATGGTCCTTTCTGTTCATCAAATCTTGAAGTCTGGTAGGTGGTCGAGGACATGCTATGCTCTCCACATGTGTTATGATGTAAGTTTCCAATCGACAAACGTTCACGCTGTATTATTGCATAAAATGCTTAAGGCAGACGTAGATCGGTAGACTAGGTTTGGAAATGTTTGTGTTGGCGGTAACATCTATTTTCTACAGATCGGAGTGCCTTGTTGACCGTGATCTTTGTTAAGAAATGCATTGAATATGCAATGAATTGATCTAAGTTTCGCTGTTTGTGTGCGGAAGCATGCTATGGTTGACACGCAAAGGGTTGGTAGTTGTTAGCATTTGGATGGATGATAGCTGGTTACATCTTCTCTCGTTTTCATTGATTTTCTATCTATTCAGACAAAACTATATTGTTTTCAATTTACGGACTTTAAAAATATTATTTATCGAAATTTATTCTGATTAAAGTGAAACTTAAACTAAACGTAGGTACTATATGCTTTGTGTAATTTTAAAAGTCAATGTATTAAATTGCTTGTTTAATTTAAAAAATAATCATTTTACGTAAAATGTAATTCGACGTCAAAAAAGGGAATTTAAAGATATCGAACGGTAAAGTACGTGCAAATATTGAACTGGTTTAAAGATAGTAATAATAAATTTGAAAAAAAAACAATTTTGTTAGCCTTTTGTTAGATTTTGTTTGAAATTAAAACTTTGAATTACAAGACTAGCTTAGTCGTCTTGTGTTTAAATCGTATAAAATATACTGACTTTAAAATCTTAATGTTTATCTAAATTCTTAATCTAAAATGTTTAAAGGTCTATAAGTGCTTTTTATTTACCTGCGTTTTAATTTATACAGAGCGCTTGCGTCTGGTATCCGAGAATGCTTGAACGAATTGAAACTGCTATCTTCGCCATTCAAGAGCTATATATTGAACCCAAAGCCGCGTGGAAGGGCAGAAGGCCAAACAGTATTATTTTGATTGTGTGAAGTGGACATAGTGCCATAACACCATGACTAGGAGTTTTAGATTTGTGACGTGTGCTTAAATAATTTATTCAAGTCATATTTTCTTGTAGAGTGCTGAATCTGGATAAAGTTAATTTTATTTGTATGTTTTAAATAACTACACATCTACCTACCTATCATCATCACACGTGCAAAATATAAAGTTTAATGAAACAACCACTTCAACCACTTACAAATTTTAAATCATTGTCATAAGTATACATCAACAAAAAAATATCGTTCACCTATTAAATGCAAGGCAAATAAATATGACCATACATAGGCGGCACTGAAAATTTCGGGAATTAACGAAGTGACACAACATTACTATTTAAAAATGTATTTATTGCTTTTCGAAGTATTCTCCGCGAAATTTGACACATTTTTCCATACGATGGAACCAATCATTGAAGCAACCATTCCATTCGGAAGTTGGGGTCTCCAAAATGGCCGTTTTGTAGGCGTCCACAGCTTCTTCAGGTGATGAAAATCTCTGTCCACGCAATTTATTCTTTATTTTAGGGAAAGTATAGATATCATTAGGGCTTAGGTCGGGGCTGTACGGCGGATGGTCTAATAATTCTATGTTTTCTTGCTCTAAAAACTCTTTTGTTATGTGCGCGGTGTGAGAACTCGCATTGTCGTGATGGAGGATGATGCGGCGGTTGCAGTTCTCTTTACGGAGTTCAGAAACGACCTGTGGCAAACAAATGCTAGCATGCCATTCTGCATTAACCGTTCTTTGTCCCTCAAGAGGAATAGTCGTAACATGGCCGGTTTTGGAGACAAACGTGGCTACCATTTTTTTTGCAACACTCCGTGAACGAACAATTTTTGTTGGCTTTAACTCATTTTCGAACATCCAAACTCGTGACTGGTTTTTTGTTTCGGGTTCGTACGCGTATATCCAGGATTTGTCACCTGATACAATGTTGTATACAGCATTTGAGGATCCTGCGTGGAATCTTTCGAGAGTTATGACGCACCAAGTAACGCGAGCCGCTTTTTGCTCTTCACAGAGCGAATGCGGTATCCATCGGGAAAACAACTTTTTACACCTAATTGTTCATGCAAGATTATTTGTATTTGACTCATGCCAATGTCTAAAGTTGCCTGAATTTCGCGGTATGTCATATGTCGATCTTCCTCAATCAGCTTACGCACAGCATCAACGTTTTCTTGGGTGACTGCAGTTTTTGAACGACCTTGACGGGGATCATCACTGAGCTTGACACGTCCACGTTGAAACTCAGCAAACCAGCGATAAATTGTGGTTTTGGATGGGGCTTCATCACCAAATGCAGAAATTATCCGGTCAACACACTGTTTTTATGTTAAACCACTTCGAAAGTCATAATAAATCATCGCTCTTGAATTTTCTCGAGTCAATTCCATTTTCTCAACGACTAAACAAGTTTGACAAAACCTCGTGACAAGACCGAGAATCTTTTTTAAAATAAATAAATGGTATTCGATTTTTAAAACCAAGAAGTTTTCAATTAAAAAGATTTTAATAAGACAGGAACAGTGGAAATATTCCATTCCCGATACTTTTAGTGCAGCCCTCGTAATACATATTTTACAATGCATTCAATCTATTTTGTACCTCGAGTCATCAAGACTAGAAAAAGTTCGATTCGTCGCAAGCGTTTGAAAAATACTTGTTATTATTGTGTTCACTATCGATGTATCATCAGAAGATTCATAAAATCGATGAACAGTTTTGGAAAATTACCAGCGTGAGATACAACTTAAGGTCATGTACAACTTCCGCCATTTCCAATGTGACCATAACTTCGTTTGTCTCATTATTGAATCTTTAATTTACACACGTAAGTGACAGTTATTAAGTTATTGATTTCAAAACTTTTTAATGTGTTGACGGTTCGTTAATTTTATTTTACAGTCTTTAATGAAGCTTATATGTACGTTAATAGTTAACAGATTTAGTGTCTGCGTACTTAAAGCTTACAACGTAGACTCAAAGTCAGTCAACGAGCAACGGAGAGGACTAAGCTTAGAGTTTCCCTGCGAGGTCGAATTAGTGTGACGTGATTCGCAGAACCATGTTAACCGACATAGCCCGAAGGATACATGGGTTAATGTTTAGATGCACAGAGCATATAGAGTAGACCTCCCATTAACTGGTGATAGGACCTTGCGTGGGTCCGCACAGGTAGGTACCACCGCCCCACCTGTTTCTGCCGTGAAGCAGTAATGCGTTTCGGTTTGAAGGGTGGGGCAGCCGTTGTAACTATACTGATGTCTCAGGGTGGGTGGCGGCATTTACGTTGTGGATGTCTATGGGCTCCAGTAACCACTTAACACCAGGTGGGCTGTGGGCTCGTTCTCCTATCTAAGCAATAAAAATAAAAGAAATTGGACCGACGACCTGTTGAATTTACGACTTGCTTGGTGTAAAGTACCGACATTTCAACTCTTACCAACATTTCTTTCATTATCAAACTTTCATTATTCTTTACAAAATAGTCAAATCAAGCATACTGACGAATAACTTAAGAAACGTTATTTCCTCCCGGACGAAAATTTATGAGAGGAGTGTTAACATACTCTAGTAAATAATGAAAGAAATCGGCTAGCTGTAAGTCAAGGGAAAAGTCGTCAGCTGATAAGATTCAGTAGGTCATAGGTAGATGCTGCTGCGTTACACCTTTCAAGGTACCAGCTGACAAACTTTCCACTGAGATACGCAAGCTGACATTAATTTTCATTCATAGTAGAATATAAACGATCACCAGGTAAATTTTTAGTTGAGAGGAAATCATTGAAAATATATATTTTTTTCATGTTCAAGCAGCCAGCGGACGTATAATCCACCATGTTATGGCCAGCTGACATTTTTTTTCCTTCAAAATACTAGGTTAACTATAATCTGACAAAATTTCAAATTGGAGGAAATGACTGAAAAAACTTTTTTTTTCTCCATGCGTGGGAGGCTGCCACCGCCCGCCCCACCCACTGAGTTGCAGCTGACGGTCGCGAGTATTCATAGTATCCAATAGGTCCCTAATGCATTTTACGAAGTTTCGCTCGAGAGGAAATAATTGACCGAAATTGTACTTGGCTCCTGGACCACACCTAGTAACTGACACAGCCTGGGTGGTCTGAAGGGCCGTTTAGTGATCCACCAAAAATCTAAATTTAGAAGAAATAGAAACAAATGTATTAATATTCCTGAAAAATGGTGGGAATATTCCAAGACGTCCTTGGGCCTTTTCGAAGAACCTAGGGAACTACACCCATCTACTTTGTTTCATTTTCCCAAAACATTATTACATGTTTAAATCTAAAAATTTATTAGGTCGTCGTCGTCTGTGATTATGAAAAGTATGAAGTATTCGAAATTTGTTAAATAATATACCTAGGTATATAATGACAATGAAAAATCGAGATTAAGCTGTAAAACAGTCTTAATTCTTAAATAATAGTAATAAGTCTTAAATAGTCGCGAAAACAAGAAAAATATTAAATTAACAAATATTTTCAATACAAACACTCTCTTTGAATTCCCAACAATTTTTTTTTCGCAACCTACCTATATCATTATTAGCGATACTATTCAGAGGCGTTTTGTTTCAATGTTTTTATTATATGAAAACTCCTAAAATTAATAATTTCTTTATTAGCACAATATTTTTCAGGTGAAAGGTAGTAAAATTCACAAATGTTTGTTTTTTATTTGCCTAGCATACTACTGGTAGTAGGTATCATCAGTAATTATGCAAATTATAATATTGCGGGTTTGATATTTACTACACGATGCTATTCCTTCACAGTGGAAGTCTATCGTGGACATTTGTTAAATAACTATTTCATTAGAAAAATTGGTACTTGCCTGCGGGATTCGAACACCGGTGCATCGTTAAATACGACTGCACCGGACGTCTTATTCTTTACACTACGACGACTTCAAAACAACACATTTGTAAGTTTTAATATAGTTTTGAACATTTAATGGAAAAATGAAGCTTTAAATACAATTTAAACATAAATATACAACTACCATATAAGAACGAAAATCCCTTTTTCAAAAGGTCATTTGAATTTATCATATCTTCATATTTTCAATGAATAAAGTCTATGGCTTCCAGGAACCACCTAACGCTAGGTGGACCGTGAGCTCTTTGAAGCAATAAAATAGATAAAACGTAGATAGATCTCACTTTCTCATTTAATCAGTACGTTCATTAAGAGTGTTCTATGGCAGAAAAATGAATTTATCCATGGTTTATCATGGCTCAACATAATACGCAACTACATAGATGTCATTTATTATATAATATAATCTGAAGCTTAGATTATAACATTACCGACTCAGACTATGGTTTAGATTCTAAACCATGGTCTGAACATGCTCATGTATGTGCAGTGTATTTGGACTAACTTCATTCATCTGAATACGATAAGGATAATCAATAAAGTCCTTACAAATTATGCAGATAGATAAAATTAGTGGAATAAATTCGATATTCTTATCTTTATTTTGATATTCTGGAAATCAATCAACACTTCACAAAGCTTACATTATTTAAGGATTTATAACTCTTAATTTCTTTGCGATCCGACGCTCTTATTAACATTGTTGCGTTGTCTATGACTAGTTATATTTTCAATGTGGTGGTCGGCTTATCAATTTTAGCAAAATATTTTCGTGATTTAAGCGGGAAGTGCGTGATTTAGACAAAATAATCAAAATGAGCGTTGAAGAAGATGTTATGAAAATACAGAAAAAGCTTACTAAAATGACATCTGAAGACGGCACGGTATGTAACTTAGACTAAAATAATGTAGAAATCCGTCTCCCGCCTGCCCCTAATTGGAATCATCTAATTCATGTATTTCATGACAAAATAAGCTCAAAGCAGTTGTATGAAATGTACGTTGTATTTTATTGCACGCCTTTTTGTCCTACATAATTTTCAACATGCATGTTTAACATTAGGATCGTAAACAACCCACCCGTAATATAATAATGAAATGAAAACATTTACAGGGTCAAGAAGAAGCGTTAGAACTTCTGAAAGCACTTCAAACAATGGCTATCAACTTGGACGTCTTAACGAAAACAAGAATAGGAATGACTGTCAATGCTCTGAGGAAATCCAGTAAAGATGATGAAGTTATATCGCTTTGTAAAACACTAATAAAAAACTGGAAAAAGTTTTTGTCGACACCAAACACGACTAAGGATAATGGAAATTCATCCAAATCTAAAAAAGAAGGTAAAGACAAAGATAAAAAAGAAGATAGAGATAAGAAATTGCCAGCATCATTTCCACCACAGTCCAACACTACAGATGCAGTAAGGCTCAAGTGTCGCGAACTTCTAACCCAAGCACTCAAGGCTGCTGGTGAAACTTCCAATGCTTGCGGATCTCCTGAAGAACTTGCTGAAGAGTTAGAAGAGTGTATTTATGCTGAATTCAAAAACACTGACATGCGTTACAAAAACAGGGTTAGATCAAGAGTTGCTAACTTGAAAGATCCCAAGAACCCAACATTACGTACAAATTTCTTTAATGGTGTCATTTCAGCATCACGTTTAGCTAAAATGACTCCTGAAGAAATGGCAAGTGATGAAATGAAAAAGTTGAGAGAAAAGTTCATTAAAGAAGCTATTGATGATGCACAGCTTGCCACAGTTCAAGGCACCAAAACAGAAATGTTAAAATGTGGCAAATGCAAAAAGAAGAACTGTACCTACAATCAACTACAAACAAGAAGTTCCGATGAACCTATGACCACATTTGTCCTTTGTAATGAATGTGGTAATCGCTGGAAATTTTGCTAAGACTGCTCTAAACAATCTAGAAAGATGGTTTAAATACTTACTGTAATGATACATTTTTAGTATCATGTGTTTTATTACATTTACTATGATTTGGTTTCTTGCAAATATAAATGCATTATTACTGTCATTGACAACTATTGTGTGTAGATAAGGTGATTTTTTAGTTTAAAATTTAATAAAATAATCTGCTTTAAGTCAGACATCAGTTTTATTTTATAATAAAATTAAAGAAAATGTCACTTAACTGTACATTATTAAATTAACATTAAAACAAAAGTTTCATATGCATCACAATTTATGTGTGATTACCTTTATTTTCTAAATTACATATCCTTAAAGGATGTATTTGGATTAATAACAGTTTAATCAGTTAGAAACAACCAATTATATCATTGCATGGTATTCAACTAATTATACATAAATATTTTGAATTATAAATGAAGACAAACTTGACGAATTTAACATCAGTTTCTTAAACTAAAATTATTTAGCAATTGAATAATGAATGCAAGCAGCAACAGGTACAATAATTTATATAAAGTATTTATACAATAAGTAATTGCAGCTATCAATCTGTTGAGATACAATAATGTTCAAAACTAACTATAATTTATACTATATTCCACTGTTTAAATGTTATCATGTTTTTAATAGCAGTGTCACCCATTTTACATATATTTGCACTGCTTTCATGGTATAGTATTTGCCAAAGTTTACATGTATCTAAAAATATACTATCTTTGTGACCTTCCAAATTTCAGTAATTGAGTTTAATTTTAGCACAAAGATTTAAAATCAAATTGCTAATCTAATATGGCAAGTATCTAATAATGATTAGGACAAAAACATTTTATTTAAAAAGCAATTATTTGGTTTCCATACCATATTTCACTTGACCATAAACACAAGAAAAACTATTAGAAATTATTAAACCAATAATTCACCAGTTTTAATGTTGACAAATATTTTATCAGTGTTGCATGTCAAATTTTTATTTTGAATTTCTAATCTGAGATCGTATGGCTGACTTTCATTGTCGATTTTAGTGATTGTAAAATTGACGTCTTCACTTGCAACAAAACATTCAGGAGTCAACGCTTTCTGATAGTTAAAGTGTGTTTTTAAATGTTCTTTCAAGAAATGTGATTGTAGGACTATCAAATCGCAATAATTACATTTATGATTTGCAGAGTTTGCAACGTTAACGAGGTCCGTATCGTCATGTCTTTTGTAATGGTTATTTAAAGCGTCCTGGCGATGGTTAGTGTAAGGACACAGAAGACACGAGTGCAATTTACGCTTATTTGTAGATTCAGTTGCACTTGCATCTTTGTTAATAGAAGACATTGATCGCCTGCGTTGTAATAAGCGTAGTGTTTGTTGATCTCTATATGAAAATTGTTGGAAGTCCGTTTTAGGCATTCCTTTTGGAATTGTTTTGACTGCCAGTTTAAGGTTATCCGCACATTCCGGACCTTTCAAATTATCTGAATCTTGTATTTCAGTTTCGACGAAATCACAACCGCCCTTCTTCCTCTCGGCTTGTGCTTCATCGTTCATTTGATGTTTCCGCATGTGTTGGACATAATTTGCATAATATTTAACGGAGTAGTCGCAAAGCTCACACTTGTACCTCTGTTTTGAGCCATGTAAAGATAAATGTATTTTATATTGTTCCCTTTTTTCAAACGCAGACGGACATTTATGGCATTTGTATCGTTTTTCTTTCTGACGTCCGTTTTTAAGATAAGTTGGATATATGAATTCTGGATTACCATGCATCAAAAATCCGAATTGTGGATCGGCTTGAAGCACGGGTGGAAAGTGATCGTTGGGTTTAACTAATTTATCTTTATCGGTGAGTACTCTTTTCTGCGCTTCGGTCTTTCTCTGGAATAAGTCTGTTCCTGAAATTGGAATGTTTTTGTAATCCGCGTCTTCCCCTGATTCATAATCGCCATTGGAATTTTTATTTTCTTTTTCATGTAATGCTTCGTGTTTTGCCAAATTGCCAATGTTTTTGACAGCATAACTACAACTTTTACATTTATATTCGCCTTCGCCGCCGTGTAAGCCCATGTGGTAATTCAGAGCAGAACCTTTAAAGAATTTGGCGGGACATTCTTTACAATTATATTGTTTAGGTGTATGTTTGACTTCTTGGGATTTCTTGTTGTTTAGTTCTACAATTTCATGTTTTTTATTGTGATTGATCACCCAAATTTCAACGCCACTTTCGGTCCGAATAGACTCCAAACAAGGCGGCCTGTGGGCAGGATGAGAATTGTGGGCGAATTTAAGCATTCTGGTTTTCGTGTGGTACTCATCAGAATGAGCTACGGCATGTAAAACCAATTCACTTTCTTCTGATACCGCGAAGTTGCAGTTTTTACATTTGACGGAGAGGTTTGAATTATGATTTTTATCGTGAACTTGTAGTTCGGTATCCGTAAAATAACGTGCAGGACACAGTTGACAGAAATACAAAGTTTTGATTTCTTTGCTTTCACCATCCTCATGAAGGGGCGACGAATCATTATTTCCCGATTTTTCAAGTTCAATGACCTTACGTAATTTAGCCACTTGTTCATCGTCAGGAATGTCGTCCGCGACGGGGCAATAAATCCGTCCGTATAAGTCACCGTGTAATTTGGAATGTTCGGCCAATTTTACCGCATTGTCAAAAGTAAACTTACATTCGGAGCATTTGTAGTAAACGGATGCGTCGTTTTCGAAAACGAGGCAATGAATTTTCTCGTGTATTGGGATTTTGCATTTTTGCGAATTCACATACGAACAATAACGACATTTGTACATTTTGTGGAACTCGTTTTTAGCCGACACCCAAACAAACGGAATTTCATTGAACGAATTTGAGGCCGCATCGGAAATATCGTCTGCCCTTAACATTAGTTCTAGCTCCGCTTCGCTCTCATTTTTCTTTGGATGGATTCCATGCACTCGTAGGTGTTGATGAAGCAAATGCCGTTTCGAAACGCTATAGTTACATTCGGGGCATTTATAAGGAGTATCAGCAGGTAGCCGGTGAAATTGTTCGTGATACATATACTGCGATTTGCTATTTGTCTCATATGGACATTCTGAACATCTATGTCGTTTAGTCGAAGCACCTTGGGGCGTTAAGGCAGAGGCTAAATCTGGCAATGGCGATCTACAACCCCTGGCCTTAGAGATAAAATCTTCTGGATCTTCCACGCCGTGAACATGTAAATGTTGTATCAGTTCACTTTCGTTTTTCACAAAAAATGGACAAAAGTAGCACTTAAATACGGAGTTTGTTGACGGTTGGTGTTGTTGTAAATGAATAAAGAGTGCTTGTTTGTCGTTCGATTTGAATGGACATTTGGTACAAAAGTCAGATGTGATGTCGTCGATTGTTAACGATCCAACGGCACTGTTCAGTTCTGGCTTCTGTTTGACCGTTGTTATGACTTTTATAACGCCGTTATGCTTCAAGCGACAGTGACGCTGGAAACGAGATAATCAAGATTATCTATACATATAAATAAAATTGGAGTGTCTGTTTGTAATATTGAAATATCCTCTTTTTACTACATGCATATGAATATATATATATACGGTACATACACCAAAATAACATTTTTTACAATTTTTGTCTGTCTGTCTGTCTGTTTGTTCCGGCTAATCTCTGGAATAGCTGGACCGATATTGACGGGACTTTCACTGATAGGTAGCTGATGATATAAAGAGTAACTTAGGCTACTTTTTTTAGACTAGTTTTGCCCCGCGGCTTCACCCGCGGTACGACAATAACCGCGGGTAGCATCGCGGGTCTCAGCTATCAATAATAAAATTTAATGTTTCCGAAGCGAAGCGACCCGCCCGGGTCGCTAGTAAAAAATAAATAAACAATTTTTTTAGAGATAAAGTCAAGGTCAATTTTACCTGTATTACGTGTTTCCAATTCGATAGCTGGTGGCAATGCCCACAACGATATGCCAAGTCCGCTGGATCTATAGAACTTTCTGGTTTCTTATTTCGTACCTCATCACTCGCACCTTCCACCTTGGCGTGTTCACGGACGTGCTCTAATAACGCATCCTTTGATGGATCTCTGAAATTTAAACAAAAACTCTCATTATTGATATTCTATTAACAATTATATATATTACAGAAAAAGGTTTACTGGTGGTAGGACCTCTTATAAGTCCGCGCGGGTAGGTACCACCGCCCTGCCTATTTCTGCCGTGAAGCAGTCATACGTTTCGGTTTGAAGGGCGCGGCAGCCGTTGTAACTATACTGAGACCTTAGAACTTATATCTCAAGGTGGGTGGCGCATTTACGTTGTAGATGTCTATGGGCTCCAGTAACCACTTAACACCAGTTGGGCTGTGAACTCGTCCACTCATCTAAGCAATAAAAAATATATATGGGTATATATAATATATGTAGTACGGAGCAAAGGTTGCGTTTAAAAGCATCTTGAGTTTGTCTATCAAAGTAAGTTAACAAATTACAATTTGTAGCTATATATATTTGGTTGCAGATCTCAAAATTATATCTATCGAGCGAATTCAGATCATATCTTGTGTGTGTATAAATATTTTTATTTTTCACGACTAAAATGTATCAAGGATAAGATAAACGCAATTCCAATGCGATTGAGATTTGGACACTATGTTTCCGGATATTTAAAATACATTATGACGTTTATGGACTCATGTAACCACTTAACACAAGTTAAGCCGTGAGCTTGATCTTCTATTGACTGAAATAGTATCAGCATTGTGTTAATCAGATATAGATTCCGGTATAGTTAAAATGTAAGATTAATACTGTAGAGCTGTGTACCTTAAGAAATCATTATAGACATTCCTTCAAGCGAGAAAGGTACGTAGGTTAATCTATATATTAATACGTGAATCAAAAACTTTGTATCCCTTTTTACGAAAATTGCGCGGACGGAGGACCATGAAATTTTTCACACTTATAGAGAATATAGAGAAGAAGTGCACAATGCTAATATTTTTTTTAAATAATGCATAAAAGATACATTAAATCAATAAAGAAAACATTACACACACTACATTCCATGTGTTGGACGCACACACGCATGCATACTATTTATTGTCAAACTTTTGTTCTTGGCGTCTGTTGTCAAATTGAGAACAGATTAAATATTGTTTGTCTTTGTTAATATTTTTTATAGTGTAGTCTTGGCGAAATTTGTGATTATAGTAGAAGTATAAAATACAATCATAATAGTGTACAAACTTACAATTCCGATTAATTATAGTCGAATTTCGACTACTGCGGGACCACTAGTTCAATTAACTATGTGAAACGATAGTAATGACATAATGTCAGATAGTAGATTAGTATATAGAAAACAAAATTACACAAATAAATCTTACTTGTAATTGCACTTTTTACACTTCCAGAGTGTCCTTTTTATTACTTTCTTATCTTGATTTGCGATTGATTCAAGTGATGTTTGGAATTCAAAGTGCTTAGTTTGGAGGTTTAACGGTTGCATATCGTATATTGTATTGGTATCGTTGAATTCGTCGGCGGGGTCGTCGACATCCATAGTATCGTCAACGTAAGTGTTCGGATCGAGATAACGAAATTCAGTTTTTCCATTTTCATTAGGCACAGGTATAGCTAAGAATTTAGTGTACTTGCTGTAATTCCTTCTGCCCGTTTCATCGGTCATCAATACTTTGGCATCGTTGTGATCTGGATCTCTAACGGATTTTAATTTGATATGCTTCGTTATATCCCACCGCCAGTTCGATTTATATTTGCAGATAGAGCACTCGAATGGTTTTTTATTTAAATGTCCTACGATGTGGACGTGGAATCTGGACGCAGTCGAGGCCCAGAAGGAACAATGAGGACATTTGAACACGTTTTTACCGGCCGCCTGACTCGGCGATAAGTTCATACTTTCGTTTTCATCGACTAACTCAATTTCGTAGGTTCGCGTCATATCTGGAAGCGTTGAATCGTCATTTATGTTTATGTCTAATGGTATTTCGAACTTGTTTGGCTCGTTCGGCTCGATATTGTTCCAAACAAAAACAACGTTCTCCATTGGATGCGGTTCAACGTCTTTATCACGATTTATATTACCGGCGTCGCTTGCCGAATTCTGGTCGTGAGAAATTTCATTTTGTTTCAAATTAGTACTTTTCCCACAGCTCTGCATATGAACATATAGATCGGCACTCGATTTACATCTGTGTCTACAGTTCTGGCAACGCGTTGAACCTGAACTAGGCATTAGCGTGTTTGTCATGCTTTTGCTCGCTAATGGTATGCAATTCTTTTCGTGTACCGAATGCTCTGACAAACATTTGCTTTGAAAGCTACAGTTTTTGCATATAAGCGATCCCTCCTCGCCGGTTTCTGTCAACAGTCGCTTTTTTAGTTTGTCAAAGAATGATTCGTTTTTCTTTCGGCACTCGGTATCCTTCATAAATGTATTATTGGTAAAGCAATTGTCGTATGTAGGACTTTCTGGATTACAAATCATAGTGTCGGGCGTTTCGGTATCTGAGCATAATTTCATTTTTTTGGCTGGCGGCTCATTGTTAGTGGTTTTGTTTTGATTGGGCGTTGACGTGTTTAGGGGTATGAGTTGGGGCAGGGGTCGAGGAGTTTTTTTATTCCTTTGTCCCTTTGAGTCGTCTGTGCCGCTGCTCGGCGACTGCTGACTGTGATCATTGTGAACAAAATGTGAGATCTTGTTTGGAGCTTCCGAGGTGTCGTTTGAATCACTATTACAGGAGAGGTCCTTCTCCATATTCTGTAATCCCATTTCCTGTAAAACGAGAAAAGAAACTTTAAGGTGGAAACATTATCACATTCACAATATAACATAATCATGACTAATAATATGTAAGATAATCGCACAATTATTTTCAATCAACATTATGTATTTTAGAATTACTGATTACTGATTATATCAGTATTTTAGTGAATGTATGAAATGGAATTTGACAGGAGTCTGTGGTCCCTGGCATTGTTGATGTCCACGAGCTATTTGGTGGGACGTGTACTCGTCGGCCTTCGAAGGCAATAAAAAAATCACATCTTTGTGCCAGGATGAAAACGAAGACTAACAAACAGTTACAAGAATGTAAATGGTGATTATTTATCTTAGATTTTATCTTATCATTTATTTCCATCATAATATCTTAGTGGTGGGCAGCGGCTTAGTTGTATCTCTTACATTGCTGACAGCCATGATAACCACTTACCATCAGACGAAGCATGCACTCGTCTGCCTTCGATTACAGTAACATAGATTAAACTTCATACAACAGAGCCATAGCTACCGATAGCCGGCTGACGTTTGGAGTATTACCACAAATACAAATAAAATTAATATTATTACAGGCAAAATAATTACTACGAACATAAAATCAAGCTTTCGTGCCAAAATACGAAGAGCACGTTATAATGTACTTCCATAGATATTTGGGAGATTTAATTCTATGCTGATAAATTAAGAAGTGAGCTAACGGCTCTTAGTGAGACTAGCGATACTTAGCGATATATCTTAGCGTAGTCTATACAAGAATGCCACCGCCTAATTTGAGGCGTAAAGAAGTAAACTCAAGTTTTCAATTGCAATCTATCAAGTTTTGTTATGATCTGCTATTAAGCCGGATTGCACGATTTCTTTGCAGGCTATATTATAATCAAACCTATGATATAGTAAACAAACATCTGTCCTGCCCTTAAAAAATTATAGAATACTCTCACTCTAAGTAGATTAATATTCTCACAGTAGATTAATATTTTAACGATCTGTTAACTAGTAAATGTACCTACATAAATATATAATAAATATACAATGCGCCTGTTTTATGTTTGTTTTTTAAATATTCTATAATGTTTTATGATTACTTCGCACAGTTTATCCTGAGTTTTGAATGTGTGAAACGTTATCCGAATCAATGTCCATCATCATGATGTTGATTTGTTTACGGTTTGCGTGTTATATTGAGTATAGACTAAATGATTTAGAACAGAGCTTGACGTTTGAGAGGATCATGCAGGAAAATAATAACAATAGTTAAGATGTTACGTATAACGAATTGGACATGACCATGCATTGTAAAGAGAATGAAAATTCATGCAGATAAACCGCGTGCATTCAAAGCGAAAGACAACAGTGTGACGTCACTGTGCGCTACCTGCGGCCGCAGAGAGGTGCGGTCGCTCACACACATTAGACAACAAGCATACGACGGCGGCACTCACCGAAGCGGAGTGTGAGGATCGTGAATCGCCGCTCCCTTCCTCTTCCTTTATGAGAAGCAAACTCGCTTCGTCCGCTTGTGCTGCGTCACTGGCGCCCACCCGATTGCGACGACGATTGACGTGCGAGTGGCCCGCCTGTGGCGTGTGGTGATTCATTTCATGTACAGTCAAACTCTGCTTTATATCCGCAGTAAAGTTGCACATTGAACATTTAAAACTTCCGATACCACCGTGATTTTTCATGTGACGATCTAAGTTCCATTTGTACGGTGTTCTAAAGTCGCAAACTATGCATTTGATCATGGGCATCGAATGATATTTGACGTGCTTGGTGAATCGCGCTCGTAAATGTGTCACATAGTTACACTTATCGCAGGAGAAAAGTTTATCCTTGCCTTTCAACGGAGTGTCGCCTCTAAATCGTTCTTCTTCAAATTCTATTTCGCAAGAACGGTCAGTCTTATCATCAGTGCACTCATCCATGTCAAGCTGTATATCGTCGATTTCCTCGATCTCTTCTAGCATATCTTCCATTCTATCTTGCCGTTCTTGCGATTCAATTTCAACATAGCCACCATTTGTTTGGGGCATCTCGAAATCGACTTTTGCGGTCGTTTGCAAAAGTAAGTCATCATGGACCATCTTAACGTGTCTTACGAGTTTCTGATTGTGCCTCGAGGCATAGATGCAGTGGGGACATTCATATATCTTCAACTTAACGAAATGAGTGTCACGCGTGTGTACCAGATAAGCGCGTGGATTTTGAGTGTAGAACGTGCACTTTGTACAGTTGTAGTTTCTTCTTATCTTACAGTGGGGCAATTCAAAATCTTCGGCGGTGTCTGAAGAAGCGCCAGAGGACACGTCGCCGAGGAGGCGGCCTTCGAAGGCGCGCGCGACTGTCGTGACCTCGCCGAATTGCGCGTCAGCCGGCGAGGACATCTGCTTAAGCATACTCCGCTGTAACAAAATAATGTTATGTGTCGGTTAAACGTTCCGGGAGAGCGCGCGGCGAGAAACGCGCCTTGGTTGCCGGCACGTGTGCGGTGCGCGAGAACGTCGCCGGCTGAATGAGTGGCCCAACTCCAAGCAGCCGGCGATTGCCGTGGCGGCTGACGGTCGGACCGAGGACGCGTAGGCGCGGGTCGGGAGGCGGAGGCCGGGCCTTATGTCATGTGTTTCTTATCCTCTTCAACGCGGTTGGTTAGGGTGAACAAAAGTGGCGGTCTGTCTTCAACAATTTTAGTCCTTGGCCAAACGTTGCTTTTCCCTTCACACTTTTTATATAAATCATAAAAAAAACACGAAGTGATTTTAGTTTTGTTAATACTGTAAGGTACTCGTTGTGAAACAAAGCAAGCAAGAAGAAAGTAGTAGAGTTACTGCCGTCCAAATAGCTAATCAGTCTTGTATTCATTTTCGAATGCAACCCAATAGTGGCTGTCCCAATTTATTTTATTTATCAAAAATACTCAACATCCGATAATTACTAATAAGCGTGGCCCTTAGACTCGCCTTTGGCCTTTATGCACATAAGTTCTAATTTAAAAAAAGTCGAGGACTTATAAATGTCCAGACAGGTATTGACGATCTAACATTCAACCAAGAAGTCCATGTTGAATTTACACGAATAATAAAACGCGGTAATTTTTTTTTTTCATTAGCTTCTAAACTATTTATTACAACTTAAACAAATCCTGTGTGTAAAGCTCATTTCACAGCATACATATTGTAAATGAAGTGTAAAAATCGTCCGTTACGAGGAATATTATAACGCTTATTCATTTGAATATTCGAAATGGCTAATAATTATTGACAAATTATCTGGCTTTGGACGGCAATGTAGTAAATGATTTTTTATTTTGTTAGTTAAAACTCTTATTATTGTTTAATGTCCATATATATTTTGATTATCATACAGCACCAAGTAAAGAGTTTATTTAAGGAAATATATATTTAATATGTTTAGTACTACTCTAAAAAAGACAAAAAATAGAATCCAAACTTTAAAAAATATGTTAATTCTATGTTAATTAGCAAAAAAGCGTTGATGTCTTTTGTTCTTAAGGAAGATTTAGTTATATTTAACTAGGTTGAAATAATTGCACGCCTACAATATTTACTATTCTCACTAGCTAACTTTATCATCGACGACGAAAATTTTTTAAAGTCGATTTCATAAATTACTTTTAAGATTCTTGTTCTAGTTACGACTAGCAACGAACGTGTGAATACAGATATTTTAAGATTTAAATTTTTTTGAGATTTGTATGATTTATTTCAGCCCTTATGCGTAGAGTACCTAATAAATTTCGCTTGCTAAAATTCGTAATTTTTTGGTCTTATATGTATAACTTTAGGACGGCAGAATTGTAATATTATCAAATCAAACAAATTAAAGTAACAAACACAAAATAGGAAGTAAGGTTAAAATGTAATTATTTATTATTATTGTATCGTTATTCTTTTCGTCTTATACTATGTTCGTTATTATATGTTTACCGAGTTTACCATTAAACATTAAATTTTACCGGAGACAGCGTAGTCTCAGGTGGGTTTGTCTTGAAAGGCAGCTGACACTTGGGTTCTGATGGGTCGAGGGCAGGATGCGGGGCGAGGGGCGGGTCAGCAGCCGGCTCGTCGACGCAGACAAGTCGACAGGGTCGTGCCAGGAAACGGCCGGAGAAGGCATCCCAACCCGAGTACAATGGAGGCGGCGGCGCGCCGCAGGGGGAGCCCTCGTAATCGATATGGCGACGCTAAGGTCCGTTGGCCGCTGTGAGCGGTTTGGAGCGCTGCAGAGGCGGATGCCCTTCGTCCCGCGCGCCCCTCGCTGCCCTCTCATCCACCACACCTGCTACGTACCTCTATTTATAGAGCGACCCAACCGACACAAGCTGGGGTTGCTGGCGTATCGACTTTGCCTTGGCTGTTGATGTTTCTTTTATACTTAATGTAAATGTATTTAACACACGATTCTCAAATTGTTTGTCGTCGATGGCGCTCGTCGCGGCAAGGGAAACGCCCGTCTGCTTATTATTTGACACAATGCTGACAAAAATAGCACACGTTCGGTGAGCAACCGCGATCTTGTCTACGTTATTTAGCAAACGAAGGGTGATGGTTGGTGTTACAAAACGACGCGACGACGACTCTCTTGCCTATTTCAAATATATTTCTGCATGATCTCGAAAGTGAATGCATCAACATAACGATTTAATTCAACTAAAACAATGAGCAAACTGTTACTAAAGGCTAAAACACGTTTAGTTCTTGGTTTCGTTAAAAAAGTTAATTAAACAAATTGTATTTTACACATTGTAATGATTTTGTTAAAGACATTAATAATTAGATAATTTTAAGACCATTTAGTTGGATACCGGTCATTCCCTGCGACCGGTAAGAGTACGCATAAATTTTATGTTAATAACGCCCCATTCCTTTCACTCTCGATGCGTTCAATTCCCAATGAGCGATTTGGACGTATTGAGGACGCTTTTGCTTTCATCTGATGGTCGAACCGTCTACAGAATATTTTTTTTTATATGAATCGATCAATTTTGATTAGTAAAGTTTATTGCGTGAAGTGAATTTAATTATTGTTTACCTTCTTGGCCGCTGAAAATAAATTTAATGACTTAATACAATTATTATGAGAGAATAACAATTTGTTAGGTAATATTTGTGTTTGTGTTCATGTGACCTTTATTCAATTCAGTTTTTTTTAAATATCCCTTTAGGCATTTTAGCGAGAGATTTTGAGATAGTAAGTGCCTAAAATCAACGTACAATAATAATAGCACGCGAGTCGTTTCAATTTCGTATCGTTCATATCTAACGATAGACAGAGTTAGGAGAAGCTTCGCTAGTCATAACAAGACGTGACTATTGTTGATCGATCGTCCTCAGGAATGACTATATTGTAACAAGTTACGAAATTTAGAAATAAAATTAGGTATTTTAATGCGGGGTTTGTATCGTCGTCTTAGTTTCAATTCAAACACAAAATTAAATAAATAGTCATAAGACGGAAAGTAAGAAGCGCTAATTTGTTTTTTAGCTTACGACTTCATAAACTGCTCGATGTTAAGCTGTTACCAGAGGTAACACATACACGAGACCAACGAGAATGCTCCCCCATAACAGCTACCCTACCCTTCAATCTCACGCATGATTGCGTCGCTGCAAATATAGGGTAAACAGTCTAGCTAAAAATAGGATTGTGGTACCAACCCGTGTAGTCGCTCAAAACGCCCTATCACGAGTATTCTAGAAAATAATAAGACTGAGATAAGAACATGAAGTGAGGAGTACTCATCGCTTGAAAAGCCAGAACGGATCGCAATCCCGTTTCTTCTGATTAAAAACCGGCCATATAATATTCTCGAGGCGTCAGTCTAGTCACCTAGTATTTAATGATTCTTACTATTATACTGGTAGGGCCCGGGCCGAAGTTAATGTCTTTGTTCAATATATTCGAGGTTCGTGTGTATTTTATTTTTCGTTAATGTTTAAGTCAATCAAAATACGACAATAAAGCTGGAGCCCGCTGAGTATCGAATGTTAAACTGCAAGATCTTCTGATTTGAAACATGACTATATGTGTACCTATTCAATACATCTGGGCATCTACTCTTGGCATTGCTTATATCAGCGAGCCACACAAATGAAGTCTGCCTTCAATGGTAATAAACAAATTATGCATTAAAATGAGAGAGTATGGGCGCAGTTACGTGTTTAAAATTCGACCCTTTCTTGGCTGCCATAATAGGGATAGTCTTCCAACAGTTTGCGATGCGCTTGCAAAACATATTCATTGGAAGCAGATCACGCACACGTTCATGTTGGCTATCGTTGTGTGTGTGTGACGTGTTTCAATAGGTTTGTGTCGTCATTTGTTTGCGGTGCGGTGTGCTCGTTGAAGTCAGGCCAGGTGCAGATACTCCAACAGTGACAATAAATTTCGATTACCTTAACCATTTTTGCAGCAGCCGAAGCGATTGTTATGGTAACAGCAGGTAAATACAGGAGAAGTTCAACTATTTGAAAACAAGTATGCCTTAGAAGGGACGAGTGAGTAACATGATACGAACCCACGGTCTAGTCTATCTAGACTATTCTAGACCGACCCAGATTTGGCTCTAAATTTTAGGCAATTAACGATTCTTTCAATAACGGCTTAACTGCTCAATACTATTCAAACGTTTTCTTGCTGGATTTTATACTCTATGTTTGAAAACTCAAGATCTATCTTAAGCCCGAGTATTTCTGGAAAGGTCCATCACTTGTCAAGAAAATCGAATTCAACTACTGTTAGTGCAAAGCGTCCATAGTCCTTAAGCACATACAACGTAATGAAAATAAACATATTTAAGTTTAAATTAACAATTCTAAGGAAAACTATAATGACCGCCATTTATTCTACCACACAATCTGTGGATGATGTCGAGTGAACGCAAACAAAGTGATTCTTATTTTTTATTTGTCATTTACAATACCCACAGACTTCGTGTTGAACTCGACGAACAAATGCTGATGAAAATAATTGAGTTTTAATTCTTTTGGAATAGGTATGTTGCAAATGCAAAAATGATGTTCTAAGTAGTGGAGCTATTGATCTATTTTAAGTTTATATAAAGATGTACCTTTGGAATGTATTTATTTCCATTATGCTTTACATTTTGTATTGGAACAATTAGTGGACAATGTACCGTTAAATTATATCCTACACATAGGCATACCGGGTGTATATAATTTTAATCAATATTTCACTATATATTTGTAAACGGAATGGTGCAGCCATGTTACGGATTTTGCGACGCAAATAATTTGCGCGCCAATTGACCTTTCGTCGGACATCGTTGTCGGAGTAGTACGATGGCGACGGGCGCGGTCTCCGGCTCCGACCAACACGTGCTAAATATAGATGTGCGACAACACGCCACATCGAACGAACACCC